AGCCAGCCAGTCAGTCAGTCAGTCAGTCAGTCAGCCAGCCAGCCAGCCAGCCAGCCAGCCAGCCAGCCAGCCAGCCAGTCAGTCAGTCAGCCAGTCAGTCAGTCAGCCAGTCAGCCAGCCAGCCAGCCAGCCAGCCAGCCAGCCAGCCAGCCAGCCAGCCAGCCAGCCAGCCAGCCAGCCAGCCAGCCAGCCAGCCAGCCAGCCAGCCAGCCAGCCAGCCAGCCAGCCAGCCAGCCAGCCAGCCAGCCAGCCCGCTGCTGCTGCCTCCAGTATAAGGACTAACACCTCGCCAATAATGATTCAGCTACGTAGCGCGGGCTATGGTGAGCCCGTAAGGGGAGGCTCTTTGCAGTCATTATCTGTTATCAATAGTAGCAGATACTGGAGATCTGGGGATGGATAGGAAAAATTAATAGTTGTGTACTGTATGGATTTGTGAGCCCTTTGAAGGACCTGAATTAACAGGAGAATAAAAATAGCCTAATTCCATTCCGTCTCCCCAAATCTACTCAAATAAATTTGGGTACTTATTAAAGCTACCCAAAGCTTCTTAGCATTAGGTAAGTAATAAAGAAATGTGATATATTTACTCACTGTAATGTTGGCGCTGAATGTAGAACATGAAAAAAACATTTTTTTCTCTGAAATAATAATTTATGACGCCACAGGAAGTCGACGCTCCAAGCGAACAATGTTTGGGGAATTAGCAGGACCCAATTTCCTTATAAAGTAGTACTATTTCTGAGTAAAAATTTAGTATTTTCATATTCTACATTCAGTATCAACATTATAGAAAGTAAATATATAATGACTTCTTCATTACTTCCGTAATGGTAGAAAACTTAGGCTAGTTTGAGTAATTAGAGCGACCCGCCTAAGCCTCTATCCTTTTAGCCTAATTTATTTATATATTTATTTATTTATTTATATATATACAAGAAGGTACATTGGGTTTCTAAGAGTACATACCATGATGTGTTTACATTCTTGTAAAGCCACTAGTACACGCAGCGCTTCGAGCAAGTCCTTAATCTAACAGATAATATTAAGAAAGTAATTTCTTGCAAAATTTTTAAATTGTTAACAGGTATATTGTACGAAAAATTTGAGAGAGATTAGTATATTAAAGCACATTGATTGATTGATAGCACTGATAGCTTTGATTGATAGCACTGATAGCTTTGATTGATAGCACTGATAGCTTTGATTGATAGCACTGATAGCTTTGATTGATAGCACTGATAACTTTGATTGATAGCACTGATAGCTTTGATTGATAGCACTGATAGCTTTGATTGATAGCACTGATAGCTTTGATTGATAGCACTGATAGCTTTGATTGATAGCACTGATAGCTTTGATTGACAGCACTGATAGCTTTGATTGATAGCACTGATAGCTTTGATTGATAGCACTGATAGCTTTGATTGATAGCACTGATAGCTTTGATTGATAGCACTGATAGCTTTGATTGACAGCACTGATAGCTTTGATTGACAACACTGATAGCTTTGATTGATGGCACTGATAGCTTTGATTGATAGCACTGATAGCTTTGATTGATAGCACTGATAACCTTGATTGATAGCACTGATAGCTTTGATTGATAGCTTGATTGATAATTTGACAAAGATTAGTAGGCACAATAAAGTCAATTGATAGCATATATATAAGATGACAGCAATGATCACAATATGATAATAGCCTATCATTCTGAGATGTATTTCATTACCTCAATGAACTTGAACGTGATTACAATTTCACTATTTTAAGTAAACCTAGCCCAACCTATCCTATCCTATCATAAATGTCAAAATCCTATCATAAACTCGACCAAAATGTTCTTTATGTGATGTTCAGGTGACAGTTTTCTATCCTGAATCACCCATAGATCTTTCTTCAAATTCAGAATTCTTTAAAACCTCACATAATGTATATGCTATGTGACCCATTTTCTGTTATTCTACATTCGATAACATGGCATTTATTCACATTAAATTCCATGAGCCACGTGGAGCTCCATACACTTATTTTATCTAGGACTTTTAGGTCATCTTGAAGGTCACGGCAATCGTCTAAGGTTCCTAGTAGTTTAGGATCATTAACAACCATGTTCAGATGATTCTGTATCCCGTCTGGTAGGTCATTCATGTAGACATAATCGTGGTTTTCCTGAAAGCGCGACATTTTCAGTATTGAAAGTGAACCAACTGACTAGCGATATAGAGTAAAGCAGCCTAGTGTTGGTTAAGTCTCAGCTACTGGGAACCAAAGGTGGCAAGTAGCACGGGCTATGGTGAGCCCGTAGTGGACTTACCTGGCACAGGAGCGGGGCAAGTAGCACGGGTTATGGTGAGCCCGTAGTGGACTTACCTGGCACAGGAGCGGGGCAAGTAGCACGGGCTATGGTGAGCCCGTAGTGGACTTACCTGGCACAGGAGCGGGGCAAGTAGCACGGGCTATGGTGAGCCCGTAGTGGACTTGCCTGGCACAGGAGCGGGGCAAGTAGCACGGGCTATGGTGAGCCCGTAGTGGACTTACCTGGCACAGGAGCGGGGCAAGTAGCACGGGCTATGGTGAGCCCGTAGTGGACTTACCTGGCACAGGAGCGGGGCAAGTAGCACGGGCTATGGTGAGCCCGTAGTGGACTTACCTGGCACAGGAGCGGTGCTGTAACTTGTAACACAGCCGGCAGCGGATACTTTGAGGTGAGCGCAGGTTAGGTCATAAAGACCTTTCCTCTTCCCGTCTCTGGCGCGGCCCGCTCTCTTTCCCGGCGTCTCTTCACGACTCATTCATTCATTCCTTCATCTATATCCATCCCGTGGAAAGTGGTGGGAAGGGTTATAGTGGCACATAATACCACTTGTGACAGTGTTGGGAACGGGTCGAGGAGGCAGTAATATACCTAATCATCCTATTCTTACCTATAATGAACAGGTAAGAATACCTGTTACCTTGAAGAATAAGAGTAAGAATACCCTTACCTTGTGGCTTCGACGAGGTAAGGGTTACAGTCCTCATAAACAAAGCCCCAAAGGCCATTCCATCCACCCGCCAACCCCCCCGCTGTTTATGAATGTATTTAGTTTAATTTATTTATTATGCACCCCATACCCCTCTTGTGGGCGGTAGTGGAGAGGGTTACAGAGCACATAATGGGCTCAGGGACTGAACCCCACAATTCATTTAGCTAAGCAAGTTACAGTCTTGATGAGCTAGTTACAAAATTCAATATAAGTCGTCACATCAACAATGGGTTCGAGATCGACCTCAAGTACAGGTTCTAAATTAAGCAACTGACATATGTGGAGAGCTAGTGTCACAAGTTATATGTTTGTCCTGCACACCGCCCCCCATCCAGTGGGCAGCGGTGGATAGGTTACACCGCCCCCCATCCAGTGGGCAGCGGTGGATAGGTTACACCGCCCCCCCCCCCCATCCAGTGGGCAGCGGTGGATAGGTTACAATAACTTAGTTACTACCTACAGTTAGCAAACTGGGGATATTTGGCTAAAATTTCTGGTAGCAGATCATTTTGAATGAAATATTTACACAAATGAAAAACGGTTTACACACGACTCACAACTGCTGACGTTCGAACACTTCCGGAACAAGTGCTTCACTGACGACTGGTGTTCGAACCACAACGCTGTAAATGCTTCACCCACGTACTACAAATAATCGCCAACAGAACCTAAACACCTGACCTAACCTATGTCTATATATGCACAATATGCTAATATATTATTAATTTATATTTTAGAAAGTTCCTGTTTTGAATGAACAGTCTGTTGACATTGATGAATGCGTCTGTGGGGTCGACCGCTGGATGGAACGGACTTGAGTCGAGGACGGGTTAATTAATCAATTAATCAAAATTATTATTTAAATTAACATTATTATTAACGTTACTGGTGTGAGTGAGAGTGAGAGAGGTCCAACAGGCCCAACTCCGTGAACAATCAGTAGTTAGCAGCCACAGCACTAGGCTCTCGACCTTCAACAGCCTCATGCTAGAAGTGCCTTTCTCAAGAATATCACTCCATCAGCTACCATTCACTCCGAGGCTGATTCGCATTTGGAATGCGGGATGCTCTCGGACGCAGGTTCGAATCCTCGTCACGGCCCTTGTGGATTTGTGCATCTGGAACTGGTTCACTCAACAGGTTGATACAAGGGGCATAACTGGCCGACCCCTCACAGTGTTCAAGAGAGAACTGGATAAGCACCTCCAAAGGATACCTGATCAACCAGGCTGTGACTCATACGTCAGGCTGCGAGCAGCCGCGTCCAACAGCCTGGTTGATCAGTCCGGCAACCAGGAGGCCTGGTCGACGACCGGGCCGCGGGGACGTTAAGCCCCGGAAGCACCTCAAGGTAACCTCAAGGTAAGGTAACAGGAGATCAGGTCAACTGATCACATGAAGACTGGCACACAGTTGGCTACAGGCTCATCCTCTTCCTTATATCATTGTTACCTTATCTGTTAACGAATAAAGTTTATTCCTATTGATGCATATAACATGCTCATGATATAAATGGACCTCTAGCTAGGAGTAGGTTTCAACTTAGTTGAGGTAGGATTACAGCTCTTGCTTGCATTTTCACCAGGTTCCTTATATGATAGTTCCCTATATGATAGGTCCTTTATGATAGTTCCCTACGTGATAACTTCAAAGTATATTCTCCTGAAATAAATGAGTCTCAAGGAGCAGGCTTCAGATGAGCTAAGGTTGGATAACAGCTCTTGCTTGCACCTTCACTAGGTACGTTAATTGACAGCCCATATGAACCCTTGGCTTAGTTAAAAAGAGAGGTAGAGAGAGAGAGAGAGGAGAGAGGAGAGAGAGAGAGAGAGAGAGAGAGAGAGAGAGAGAGAGAGAGAGAGAGAGAGAGAGAGAGAGAGAGAGAGAGGGAGGTAGAGAGAGAGAGGAAGGTAGAAGCGAGAGAGAGAGAGAGGGGGGTAGAGGTAGATAAGAGTAGAGTCAGAAGAGTAGAGTAAGTAACAGTAGTTGGGTGTCAGCAGGAGGAGTACGGGTGTGCGTGACGCCCAAGACAGAGCCCGCCTGCAAGGCCATGGTTGAGGACCTCGCCGCCACCACCATCACCGCCCAGTGTGTCCTCGGGGACGACAGGTCAGTACTGACACACACAGACAGACAGGGAGAGACAGACAGAGAGGGGGTAGAGAGAGAGACAGACAGAGAGGGGGTAGAGAGAGAGACAGACAGAGAGGGGGTAGAGAGAGAGACAGACAGAGAGGGGGTAGAGAGAGAGACAGACAGAGAGGGGGTAGAGAGAGAGACAGACAGAGAAGGGGTAGAGAGAGAGACAGACAGAGAGGGGGTAGAGAGAGAGACAGACAGAGAGGGGGTAGAGAGAGAGACAGACAGAGAGGGGGTAGAGAGAGAGACAGACAGAGAGGGGGTAGAGAGAGAGACAGACAGAGAGGGGGTATAGAGAGAGAGAGACAGAGAGGGGGTAGAGAGAGAGACAGACAGAGAGGGGGTAGAGAGAGAGACAGACAGAGAGAGGGGTAGAGAGAGACAGACAGAGAGGGGTAGAGAGAGACAGACAGAGAGGGGGTAGAGAGAGAGACAGACAGAGAGGGGGTAGAGAGAGAGACAGACAGAGAGGGGGTAGAGAGAGAGAGACAGACAGAGAGGGGGTAGAGAGAGAGACAGACAGAGAGGGGGTAGAGAGAGAGAGAGACAGAGAGGGGTAGAGAGAGATAGACAGACAGAGAGGGGGTAGAGAGAGAGACAGACAGAGAGGGGGTAGAGAGAGAGACAGACAGAGAGGGGGTAGAGAGAGAGAGACAGACAGAGAGGGGGTAGAGAGAGAGACAGACAGAGAGGGGGTAGAGAGAGAGACAGACAGAGAGGGGGGTAGAGAGAGAGACAGACAGAGAGGGGGTAGAGAGAGAGAGAGACAGACAGAGAGGGGGTAGAGAGAGAGACAGACAGAGAGGGGGTAGAGAGAGAGACAGACAGAGAGGGGGTAGAGAGAGAGACAGACAGAGAGGGGGTAGAGAGAGAGACAGACAGAGAGGGGGTAGAGAGAGAGACAGAGAGGGGGGTAGAGAGAGAGACAGACAGAGAGGGGGGTAGAGAGAGAGACAGACAGAGAGTGGGGGGTAGAGAGAGAGACAGACAGAGAGGGGGTAGAGAGAGAGACAGACAGAGAGGGGGTAGAGAGAGAGAGAGAGGGGGTAGAGAGAGAGACAGACAGAGAGGGGGTAGAGAGAGAGACAGACAGAGAGGGGGTAGAGAGACAGACAGAGAGGGGGTAGAGAGAGAGACAGACAGAGAAGGGGTAGAGAGAGAGACAGACAGAGAGGGGGTAGAGAGAGAGACAGACAGAGAGGGGGAGAGAGAGAGAGAGACAGACAGAGAGGGGGTAGAGAGAGAGACAGACAGAGAGGGGTAGAGAGAGAGACAGACAGAGAGGGGGTAGAGAGAGAGACAGACAGAGAGGGGGTAGAGAGAGAGACAGACAGAGAGGGGGTAGAGAGAGAGAGACAGACAGAGAGGGGGTAGAGGAGAGAGAGACAGACAGAGAGGGGGTAGGGAGTAGAGAGAGACAGACAGAGAGGGGGTAGAGAGAGAGACAGACAGAGAGGGGGTAGAGAGAGAGAGACAGCACCCACTCACTCTCCTTCCCTTCTACCTCCAATTTAATAATAAGGAATACCTTTAATTTGTCAGAACTTTCCTTATTTTCACTCCAGATGCCTTAGTTTACTTTATTAATAAGCATCCGGCCATCCTCTATATATATATAGTCATAATATATCATATAAAGGCAATAGTTTCTTATATATTAAGGCACTTCGCATTAGAAATAAGAACATTTTGAACAAAAATGAATTATATTTGTAATGGGATATATATAATAGTCTAACACTAAAAGTAATTTATGTAAGAATGTAAGAACTCTTGTATATATAAACGTAAGAATGTATCAACTCATGTACATATATATAAATGTAAAAATGTAACAAGAACTCTTGCATATATGTAACTTTTGCATATATAAATCATGCATATATGTAGCTCTTGCATGTATAAATCCGGTACAAAGAGAATGTGTGATGATGAGGAGGGGGAGACTTGTATAAACAGGTACCACTGCTTGCGGATGGTGATGCAGAAGCAGGCAGATGTGATGAGGGCCGAGCCTGAGGACGTCTTCCTGGCCAGGGAGCTCTATAACTCTCAGATCCACGTCCTGGCTGAGACCAGGACTGCTGAGGAGAAGAATGGTAGGTGGGGTGGTTGTAGGGGGTGGTAGGTGGGTCAGAGGGAGAATGTGGGGGTGGTAGGTGGGGAGAGGCGGGTTGTGGGGATGGTAGGTGGGGAGAGGCGGGTTGTGGGGATGGTAGGTGGGGAGAGGCAGGTTGTAGGGATGGTAGGTGGGGAGAGGCAGGTTGTAGGGATGGTAGGTGGGGAGAGGGGGGTTGTAGGGATGGTAGGTGGGGAGAGGGGGGTTGTGGGCATTTTCATTTTCACCCATATCTGTTCAACATGGCTTGCCAAAAAAACTGTACAGTAAATGATTGATTAAGATAAAGCCAACCCGAAGGTGGCACGGGCATGAATAGCCCATAATGTGCAGTAATGATATTTTATAGCGAGACGGTGGGGTGATAGTGTTATGTATCAAGTGAGGAGAGGTTTGGTTGTTGCAGAGGCTTGGAGGTACCAAGGTGTGGCTGTGATCAGGAGAAGCAAGGTCAAGAGTGTGGCTGACCTCAAGGGCTCCAAGTCCTGCCATACCGGCTACGCCAGGAATGCCGGCTGGAATATACCATTCTCCCATGTAAGTTGCTTCCTGCAAATGTCAACTGTATTCTAGTAATAAACTAATTACTAAATAAAATAATTAATAATTAAATAAAATAATAATTAAATAAGTAATAAAATAATTACTAAACTAGTAATTTATATATTTATCTTAATGTCGGACAAGAAACAGGAGATACTTTTTCACCCATAATGTTATAAACCCATGGAGTTGCTTACCCCACTCAAGCCATAAATGTCAAAATCAAGTTGGAAAAGTTCTCTTAAACAATAAGGGGGACTTTTTGACAATACTCATGCTTCCTGTTCCCTCATTAAAGCCACAATAAAGATTGTGGCCCTTAGGTTAATTCATGTAAATGCACAACAACATACTTGCACTATGCCATCACAATACTGTGATCTATATACAGTATAAAAAAAAAACTCTGGAGCAGTCCAATGGAATCGAACTCTTGCCCTGGGCCACACCAGATGCATATGTTACTGCACCAGATGCATATGTTACTGCACCAGATGCATATGTTACTGCACCAGATGCATATGTTACCACACCAGATGCATATGTTACCACACCAGATGCATATGTTACTGCACCAGATGCATATGTTACCACACCAGATGCATATGTTACCACACCAGATGCATATGTTACCACACCAGATGCATATGTTACTGCACCAGATGCATATGTTACCACACCAGATGCATATGTTACCACACCAGATGCATATGTTACCACACCAGATGCTTACGTTACTGTACCAGATGCATATGTTACCACACCAGATGCATATGTTACTGCACCAGATGCATATGTTACTGCACCAGATGCATATGTTACCACACCAGATGCATATGTTACCACACCAGATGCATATGTTACTGCACCAGATGCATATGTTACCACACCAGATGCATATGTTACTGCACCAGATGCATATGTTACCACACCAGATGCATATGTTACCACACCAGATGCATATGTTACTGCACCAGATGCATATGTTACCACACCAGATGCATATGTTACCACACCAGATGCATATGTTACCACACCAGATGCATATGTTACCGCACCAGATGCATATGTTACCACACCAGATGCATATGTTACCACACCAGATGCATATGTTACCACACCAGATGCATATGTTACCACACCAGATGCGTATGTTACCATACCAGATTCATAAGCCTTACCAGATGCATACACATAATACATTGTACAATTTTAATCAGAACATTTACATTGAAATTCAGATTCAATTCAGATTTCATTTATAAGAAGAATAAATTTAATTAAATGCTCCTTACATTATTTTTATCAAAACATACTTTATTGAGACAAGAGAAGCTTTCTGGAGTCTTAATACTATTCTGCACCCTCCTGCATGTAACCTTTGTACTATTCAATGATCTTCTAATGATGTTCTCACACCTTGACCTTCTCTTCAACTCACAATTATATTATGCACCAAGAAATTGCATTAATGTAATGTGTAACGGTTCTATTGTTAATGAGTTTAATGAGAAGATCAGTAGGAGCTATGATGAGGATATGAACCTAAGCTTGGGGGGTACGCAGTGTGTAGGTTCGAATCCTCATCATGGCTTCTACCGTTTTTCTCAATTTTATTATCTTAATTTCATCTCCTTCCTCATGCTCACATTGCCATGTGAAAGCCTGAATATATCCCATATAAAAGTCCATATATCCTAAAGTCTCCCTTTTCCTTCAGCTCTTAGAGAAAGGTGAAATCAAGCTGGACTGCACCCAGGAGAGGACAGTGGTGGAGCATGATCTGAAAGCCGCTTCTTCCTACTTTGGACTCGCCTGTATCCCCGGAGACTGGACCCCTGACAACGAAACCGATGCCAGACTCAGTAAGTACTCTATCACAGTGATACAGCTGCACATATATAATACACCTGTAAAGATAATACTGTTGTTGATGTATAGAAATATATGAGAGTGATGAGGAGTTTGACCAGCAGTGGCACACTTACAGAGGAAGCATACAACAACCTGTGCACCATGTGTGGAAACCCTGGACGCTGTGATAATGTTGATGAGCACGCTGGATACGCAGGGGCCCTCCGCTGCCTGGTGGAGTCGCATGGGGATGTTGCCTGGACCAAACTCTCTGCTGTGACACAGTATTTCAAAATTAAAACAGACGTGAGACTTTTTAATTACTGTATGTTTTTATTTGTCACTAAATACACATTAAATATGAAATTAATACTGTACTCCCATTATCATTACTCCCACTCCCATTAATATTCTTTATTCTTTATGCTCAATTAGTATTAAGTTCTAGATATTAATGTTTTTCTTGCCCGAAACGCATTGCGTAATAGTGGCTTTAGGCATTGTATGTACTAGCTCTATCTATATATCAATCCATTAATGTAACATCACTTGTATGTATGTACCTTACCTGAATAAACATATTTATTTATTTATTTTATAAATATAAGTGACAGCTAATGCATCTGAAAAATAAGAAATTTTGTATTTTGTTGGATTAATAAAATTAATACAGAATATAGTAAAGAAACTGGTACTTGGTAGATCCATTAATCTCATTAAGGAAGGTGAAGGAAAGACCCAACACGTGTGTAGGTGTATAACTTAAACCCAATTTTTGGATGACACCTTCGTCCTTTATCCTGGTGATATACATGTATCCCTGGAAACACAAACCGAAACTGTCTCTATTTTCCGCTTGTTACAACTTGTAATAAAGTTGTTAGAACTTGGCTTAACGTGTTTATGATGTATTAGGACGTTGTTACAACTTGTTATATTGGTTGTTATAACTGGTTAGGAAGTGTTAAAACTTTTTCGAACGTTGTACCAACGTCGTAGTTTCGGTGTGAGTTTGGCGGGATATTAGGTCTTTTCTTCACTATCATTCAAGTGCTACAGTATTGTAGTAAGTTTCTCCACTCCCATTAATATGATAAAGCAACCAATCATTCTGAAGAGGGAGGGAAACACATCAAGTTGATAACATTTTGGAGTCGGACGGCTGAGCGGACAGCACACTGGACTTGTGATCCTGTGGTCCCGGGTTCGATCCCGGGCGCCGGTGAGAAACAATGGGCAGAGTTTCTTTCACCCTATGCCCCTGTTACCTAGCAGTAAATAGGTACCTGGGTGTTAGTCAGCTGTCACGGGCTGCTTCCTGGGGGTGGAGGCCTGGTCGAGGACTGGGCCGCGGGGACACTAAAGCCCCAAAATCATCTCAAGATAACCTCAAGATTTTAGATAAAGTCCACTATCAACTTGGTGTTTTTTCTATACACTTTTGTCAGAACTTTGTGCTCCGTTCAGCAGCCATTCGTCAAAATCTATTTTCCTGAAAAGTTTTCCGTTCATTTCGTCAATTTTATATCAGCTAGAATTTACATGCTTCTTTTGTAATTATCATGCAAAAGTGTAAGAGGTTTAAGATAGTGCAGTTTAGTGTAGTTAGACATGTATTGTAGTGCAGTTTAGTGTAGTTAGACATGTATTGTAGTGCAGTTTAGTGTAGTTAGACATGTATTGAATCTGGGCAAGTAGAAAGAATTTTGTTTTATACAGGACTGTATTAACATGTGGTTCACCTAATACCCTTGCATAGCTGAGGAGAAGAAACTAATGCTAGGCCAATGTTAGTCCCCCCATTGAGGCAACTAGAGAATAAACTTAGTGTTGTAAGGCATCTTGATAATAAATAAATTCATGGCCAAATTCAAGAAACTACACAAGTGTCTTGCAGGTCTCAACTACGGACTTCGGACTACTTTGCCCTGACGGTCGGATCCTGGACTTGGACTCTACAAAACCTTGCCACTGGGCAGCCCGGCCATGGAACTCCTGGATTGCACGAGCTTCTAATGAGTTAGTAAGAGAGATTAGTATATCTGTTATGGCTATTGAGCTTTTATAAGGCGTATTTAATTAATTGATGATTGATTGATGAAGATTAAGCCACCCAAAAGGTGGCACAGGCATGAATAGCCCGTAAGTGGTGGCCCTTTTGAGCCATTACCAGTATCAGGAGCTGATACTGGAGATCTGTGGAGGTGCGACTGCACCCAGCGTGACGGGAGATGTCTCCCGTGTTTAATTAATAGAATGTAGAAACATTAATACCATTTATATAACAAATAAAGTACAGTATATAGAAAAGAATGTTATTTTCAAACATATTCTATTGCATATGTTATGTAAGCATACTCTTTTAACACGTGCTAATTATTTGATAAAACCCATTATAATTATTAATCTTTACCATTTAAATCGCTTTCTAATTACAATAATTCTCTATTCTCGAGATACAGGTACAGTATGTATTTCAAATTTTGTATTAAATACTGTATTTCTATGGATAAAATATTCACCTAGGTTAGTATTCTTGCCAAAAATATTTGTTAAACTTTATTCCACAGAGATGTGATTGATTTCATGTGGACATGAGAGATTTAAGCTTAAGAAATCTAGTACATTTTAGCACTATAATCCATGCTGATGATCGTGGTCATGCACAGGAACAAGAAGGGTATAGTGTCCGAGCTAACCAAACTGGTGACAGAAGCGACCCTTCCCGCTGAGGAGGGTGCACCGCCTCTCAGACCTTGGGCCAAGGCTGTACTTGGTATCGACTCCCCGTCAGTGATCCACGCTCGCTCTCCTCCCATCACTCCTCATGACTATCTAAAAGAACGTATGTATAATTATAATAGTGGTTTAATTAAAAAAAAGAGAGAGGTTCTTCATCAGTCATGAGCTACTGCGGATATTTCATTATTCCATCAATTGTTGATACACTATACACTGTATAACATAAAAATGTTGTGTACTGTGGTTGTATCCAACCAATAGGCATATTTAAAAAAAAATATTATACTTATATCCTAAATTGATCTAATTTACACTACAGTATACTACTTACTTTTCTACTTTTATTTTAAATATGGAATCTCTGCATAAGGATCATTGACATCAATAACTGATCAATAAGGATCAATAACAATAAATTAAACATATAATTACACAACGTTAATCAGTAATGAGAGCCAAGACAACCTTCAACTTAACAGTAAATGAAACCTTGATACATTGCCAAACATTCTTATTAACATATAATCATTGTTCACACACACACTCTTGTGTGATCACATCCTGAGAATAATACACACTACTAAATTTCAATACTTCCCCAGATCTAAATCTCTCTCTTTATATAGATTTTTTTTTTGAGATATATACAAGAGTTGTTACATTCTTGTACAGCCACTAGTACGCGTAGCGTTTCGGGCAAGTCCTTAATCCTATGGTCCCTGGAATACGATCCCCTGCCGCGAAGAATCGTTTTTTCATCCAAGTACACATTTTACTGTTGCGTTAAACAGAGGCTACAGTTAAGGATTGGCGCCCAGTAAATCCTCCCCGGCCAGGATACGAACCCATGACATAGCGCTCGCGGAACGCCAGGCGAGTGTCTTACCACTACACCACGGAGACTGCAGAATTTTAACAGAACCCATATAGTACTGTACACTACTCAATCTTAGTAGGTGCCAGGCAAGTAAATGGGCCCAGGATATGGAAATACTTTTCAAGTGAAACTGTGTTATAGATTTAATATAACATTGTAACATCTCAACACTTGATGATAAGTTACATTATCTCCTTGCTTAGTATAATGTATGTATAGTATACACCTTTCATCATTGTCACCTAAATATTACAGTATGTATCATTTGCTAAGTTACTTGAAAAAGTCATGTATGTTAGTGTATTTCTTAATTAGTATGAAGTGTTTACCCCAATAAACCCATCAATAATTTAACTGAATTATCTTAAGTTATGCTCAAAATGCTTATATTTTTGTATACTAGTGGCTTTATTAAATATGCAGCTTTATATAACAAATAAATAACCACTGTATTATGTTCTTCTGTACATTTCTAAATGAAAATTTTTTGTTATTAATATAGTAAAGGTGTAATAGAGTAGTATCTTGTTTAGCTTTTTACTTGTGTATTTATCCATTATGGCTCTACTAGCAAATTTTAAGGTGTAGTAAATCTAAATATAGTTACTGTACTCTGTTATAATATTATAATATTATTTTGGTCAACACGTTTTCTTCAACTGGCCTCCCATCAGCTGGCTATGACGCGACCATTGAACGTCTTGGGTGCTCTGAGGTGCCAGTGAAGCTGTGTGTCGACTCTCAGCTGGCTAAGGACAAGTGTCTGGCTCTCAGCCAGGTGCTTAAGTCCCGCAGAATCCGTCCCGCACTGGAGTGTGTGATGCCTGCATCTTTAGATGACTGTCTGACCATGGTGGCAAGTGGATCTGCACACATCACTACGGTTGATGGCGGTGACGTCTTCCGAGGGCATGTGTGAGGAAATTTTATTGGTTCACTTATACATATTGTATAAATATGAAAGCTTAATTCTTTATTATACTAGATATATGTAGATTTTTAAAGCGCTTTAAAAGATGTGCGCAATTTTGCTGATTTGATTCAGCATTTTTAAATCTAATTTATCCCACACAGTCAATAAGTATTCATTAATGTTTAGTCCTTAAATATTTTAAAAAGTCTTACATACAGTATTTCACTACTAGTTTATATTCTCTGGACTGAAATGTCACATATGGTCTTCCTGTCACAGAAGAATGGTGTGCATTCTTTCCCAGCTATATGTACAGTACTGTATGCTGAAAACAGAGTCCCAGTATCATGTATATTCCTAGGGAGTATGGGTTGGTGCCAGTGATCTCGGAACGATACGGACAACTTGATGCCTCCTACTTCGCAGTAGCTGTAGTCCACGCCAATTCCGGCATCACTTCTCTCAGCCAGCTCCAGGGCAAGAAGTCGTGCCACACTGGCATCGACAAGACAGCGGGTAAGCCCAGTACACAAAGCTAGAAAAGCTAAGCTGAGCTAAGCATAAGCTAAGCTAGAAAATGTGAAATAAGGAGGGGACAAAGCCACAGTTTTTAGTTTAGTCCTTTCTTTATTATGCACCCCATACCCATCCTCTGGGAGGTAGTGGAGGTTACTGAAGCACATGATGGGCTCAGGCACTGTACCACAAAATTGATTTTGTTAGTAAGTTGAAGCAAGTTAATCAAATCAAAATCAAATCAAATGTTTATTTAGGTAAGGTACATACATACAAGAGATTTAACAAATGAAAAAGTCTTAACTTAACCTATCTAACTTAACTAAAGTCTTAAAAAATCTTAAAAGTCTTAAGTCGAAAACTTAATTAGTCTTTTTAAGCTTAATGTTAATCTTGATAAGCTGTACATTAAACACAGTTTAATGTACAGTATATATCAACAGTGAGTTCAAGAACTGCACCGCACTGCTACAGAATGTATAGGATAATTAAAAATAAATCTGCTGTAGAAGAACTAGTAAATATTTATACAATAACCAATTTAAAAATGTAATAATAATAATAATATTAATAATAATAATATTGGATAAAAACCCACATGATGTGTACAGTATTTGTAAAATTTATGTAAGGAATTTACACAATCTTTTGCACTCTCCTGAGTGCTTTGTCAAGGTCTGATTGTGTGATTAGGACGAGACTTCCATCATACATCTTGAGATGTAAGTCTCATCCTAATCACACACTCGGACCTTAATAAAGCACTCAGGAGAATGCAAAAGACTTGGTGTAAATTCCTAACATAAATTTCACAAATGCGCAAGTGTTTATCTTACGTTATTATGTCTGAAAGAAGACATTACCATAAATAATAATAATAATAATAATGTTTATTTAGGTAAAAGTACATCATGCAAAATGAGTTACAAACAGAATGTTGTATTTCTAGATAGAGCTAATATACAGTATACTATACCTAAGGAAACTACTGGGCAAGAGGTGGATAAAACACTTAAAAAACTAAGACTTAAACTAATTAAGATCAAAAGAATGAATTGGGCTGAAAAAGGGGGGAAAAAAAGAAAAAAGAATAACATTAGTTACATGTTGGACAGAACAGCAGAAATTGCAACAGATCACCAGTAGTAATTTTAACTATATAAACAGACAGGCTACAATTTTCTTTTTTTTATACATGTTTTTGTACAAGTTTGTAGATAACAGATATCAGCAGTTATACAAGTTGGTCAATAATCAGTATTGTTTGAAAATAACAAGACATAGGTTGACATTTAGGGGGTAAGGTGGGTTACATGGAGTTGATTAGGTAGTACTTAGTTTTACTTAGTACTTAGTACTTTATGCAATCTTTCTTGCAGGCTGGAAGATCCCAGTAGTCACGCTGTTGGAGGCGGGCCTGTTGAAAGCAGGAAACTGTGACTATGCTGGCGAGTTGGGAAACTTCTTCAGCAGCTCGTGTGCTCCAGGGGCCAAGGATCCCAAATATGATCCCAAGGGCACTAATCCCCAGTCTCTGTGTGACCTGTGTGTCGGCAATGATGGTCTGCATTCTCAATATTTTTCTCTTGAGATATATTAGTTTTATTTAATATATACCTGTATGTTTATTTTATTTTTGGTTTATTTATATACAAGACGGTACATTAAGTTGTGAAAGTACATAATGTACATTGGTGGTTGAAACAAGGTGTACAATACTCCTTGTGCACCAAAACACTCTAGCCGTCATCCACGGCCGGACCACATCAGAGCGTAGAGTGCTTCGCCTGAATCTTGATATACAATGCAATAGCTTTAAACACTGTTTATACTTCTTAATTTTTAATATGTGAAATAATTTTCTCACAGTGGCAGGAGTGAGTGGGCCAGCATATTCAGGTGCAAGCACAAGTGGGAAATGCGAGAGGAGCGATAACGAGGCCTTCTATGGGTACACTGGTGCCTTTAGATGCCTGGTACAAGGGGGTGGGGATGTAACCTTTGTCAAACACTCAACTGTACAAGAAAACACCAGTGAGTACTCTTCTTTTCCCGGAACGCTTTGCGTAACAGTGGCTTCATTAGTGTGTGTAACCCCCTGTCCCTACAATTGTACATCACTCTTATGTCCTTTGAACACATTCCTTTTGAATGATAATTTGATTTTGAATTCATCTTTTATATGCTGCTTTTGTTTTAATTCTTATCTAATCCCTCTTGATTTAGTTAAATTTGCAGTTCACTTATTCTAATGGGGTAAATGTTTGAGATTTTTTAAATAAATGTTGGAGACAGATCTAGAGTTCTGGTTAGAGCTTTTTTTTAATGTTAAGTAAAGTGACATGTATGGTGAGAGGCGCAGTGTGTGATGGTGGGAAGTGGTGTGGGTGTGAGACCTCAAGAAGCGGCACACCTTTCAAGTCATGGCAATGGGAAGGTTATCTTGAGGTTATCTTGATGATTTCCGGGCTTTAGTGTCCCCGCGGCCCGGTCCTCGACCAGGCCTCCGCCCCCAGGAAGCAGCCCGTGACAGCTGACTAACACCCAGGTACCTATTTTACTGCTAGGTAACAGGGGCATAGGGTGAAACAAACTCTGCCCATTGTTTCTCGCCGGCGCCTGGGATCGAACCCGGGACTACAGGATCACAAGTCCAGCGTGTGTTCGCTCGGCCGTCGGTCGACTGACCTTATAACTTGGGAAATCATAAGTTACATTTTTGTTTAAAGTAAAATAATACAAATTCAACTAAGACTAATTTAGATTTGGTGAATGGATTCATTCCAACATTAATGTATCTGTAGCACTCTCATGGCCATACACTTTTGCTTTTTCAGAGTAATTTTATATATATACAAGTCTTGTCATGAATGAACCTCTGATAATTTGTACAGATGGCAACAATGAGGCCGAGTGGGCCAAGAACCTTCGAGCTCTGGATTTCAAACTGCTGTGTAAGGACTCCGGCACCGCAGACATTGTTGACTACAACACTTGCCACCTCGCAAGGGTTCCATCACACAAGGTCATTACAAACAGCATTTTTGGCTCATAAGTCACACACAATTTTAATTGATGGTTTTATACACTAAGTAAACATTCACATCGAATATTTTAAATGGATATCCATAGATTATAAACAAGAATGATCATTGCTAATATTTATTGCTAAGTGTAAAGAAATACTATTGATACAGTTATTTTTTTTAGGAATGACCTAACCTAACCTAACCTAAAGGAATGATAACTTACAAACTCCCTCCATCCGCTCTTTTCCAGGTATTGACAGGTATTAAATCAAATAGTGTGATGTTGGAAGAGATAAGAATCTTACTGCTGCGTGCTTCACAGGTGCTTCCCAAGGGCCAGGATGTCTTCACTATGTTTGGACCTTTCCAGGGTAGACAGGATGTTATATTCAAGGTGGGTCGGGCAGATAAGCCCCAAGTACTTATCTGACTAAATAAGTTGAGATCATTGCTAAGTACAGTGATGCTAAGTTTGTTTGTATGTAGCATCTCTTTGTGATAATAAAATGACTATGGGCCATAAAAATACCCGTACATATAAGATGAGAACTTTATGACCTTAGCATAAATTTATCATCTGTATATTAGACCTTATTTTGTAATCGCTGTAATAATTTTGGTTATTTGCTCAATGGTCTTGTGCTAGCCAGTGGCATTGTGTAAGCAGGTTATTCAAACATTTTTTATTTTTACCTTCTCCAAAGAAACCATTGGAGCTAGTGAATGATCTAAGACACATTTCGTGACACATTTTCTGAGTTACCTGACTTCATTTATTATCCATTCATCATGTATTTGTAGTGCCACATCAGTGTATTTTTAGTGCCTTAGTATTTTTAGTATTTTTAGTATTTTTAGTATAGTATATTTAGTATAGTTAGTATAGTATATTTAGTATTAGTATAGTATATTTAGTATATTTAGTATTTTTAGTGCAACTTTAGTGTATTTGTAGTGCCATATCAGTGTATTTTTATATGTACATACCTGGTTGATTACCTGGTTGATCATCTACATCTACATCTACATCTTGTGTGCGTTTTCCTCAGGACTCTGCTACAGAGCTGGTTAACGTCCGGCAAGACACCTTCCACCAGTCGCTGGAAGACTCATACTACCGTGCCCTCACTGAGCTAAGCACCTGCCGCCCCAAAGAAACTCAACTGCATTTTACCATGACTGGAGGCGCTCTTGCTCATGGGCCATTCTACTTCCTTCACCTGGTTGTGTGTGCAGTCATCGTCTGGCTCCACTCGGGCTAACCCTTGGACAGTACAGCTAAGAGATGCTGTAGTTCTAAATGACTTGTTGAATGAGATACTGTATAATGTACGTATTTACATTTTACTGTACTAGTGTGATGACAATTTGCATACAAGGAAAACATAATACTATTGGCTCCATGTCATGTATATACACGTTGATCTGTAGTAAATCGCGCAGCCCACAAGGTGGGTATGGGGTGTATAATAAATGAACTAAATTAAAAAAAAAACTTAAGAGATGGTTGAGGTCCAATTCTTGAACGTATTTTACTATAAAATAATTGATATATACAGTACATTAAACTGTGTAACTAATGTATCAAGTTTGTATCTTGCTTAACTAAATGAATTCTGTGGTTCCGTGCCTGGACCCATTGTGTGTGTGTGTGTGTGTGTGTAATTACCTAAGTGTAATTACTTAAGTGTAGTTACAGGATGAGAGCTACGCTCGTGGTGTCCCGTCTCCCCAGCACTCTTTGTCATATAATGCTTTGAAACCACTGACGATTTTGGCCTCCACCACCTTCTCACTTAACTTGTTCCAACCGTCTACCACTCTGTTTACAAAAGTGAATTTTCGTATATTTCTCTGGCAGCTTTGTTTCGTTAGTTTAAATCTATGACCTCTTCTTCTTGAAGTTCCGAGTCTCAGGAATTCTTCCCTATCAATTTTATCTATTCCTGTTACTATTTTGAACGTAGTGATCATATCGCCTCTTTTTCTTCTATCTTCTAGTTTTTGCATATTTAATGCCTCTAATCTCTCCTCGTAGCTCTTGTCCTTCAAGTGTGTGCGTGTGTGTAATTACCTAAGTGTAGTTACAGGATGAGAGCTACGCTCGTGGTGTCCCGTCTTCCCAGCACTCTTTGTCATACAGTATAACGCTTTGAAACTACTGACGGTCTTGGCCTCCACCACCTTCTCACTTAACTTGTTCCAACCGTCTACAACTCTGTTTGCGAAGGTGAATTTTCTTATATTTCTTCGGCATCTGTGTTTAGCTAGTTTAAATCTATGACCTCTTGTTCTTGAAGTGCCAGGTCTCAGGAAATCTTCCCTGTCGATTTTATCAATGTGTGTGTGTGTGTGTGTGTAACCCTTTCCACTACCGCCTACAGGATGGGTATAGGGTGCATAATAAATGAACAAAATCAGTTAATCATTGCATTTTCAGTAGAATAAAATTATTGTAAAGTAGTGTGCATCATACAACTAAACATGATACTTTGAATGGTAATTTTATTTAAACTTTGCTATCAGTATAAAACTTACAGCAGTAGATGAGATCAAGTTGTGTAAGTTTGTAAAGCGGCTTACCCCCCCCCCCCCCCCCCCCCCTCCCTCACAGGGATCCTGTAGCACAATGGTCTACATCCCTGTCTCACACCCTAGAGTTCCAGGCGCAATTCATGGGTAGGGCAGAAATTGTTTGACACGTTTCCTTTCACCTGCTGCCTATGGTCACCTAGCCATAAATAGGAACCAGGTGGATAGGCATCTGTTGTGGGGGTTGCATGCTGAGGAAGGTCAGTAGTTGGCCTAGGCCAAGGGACCTCGATAAGCCTTAGTACAATACAGCAGGCTTCCTGTTCCCAGTAAGCCTTAGTACTGTACAGGCTGCCTGTCCCTGGTAAGCCTTAGTACTGTACAGGCTGCCTGTCCCTGGTAAGCCTTAGTACTGTACAGGCTGCCTGTCCCTGGTAAGCCTTAGTACTGTACAGGCTGCCTGTCCCCAGTAAGCCTTAGTACTGTACAGGCTGCCTGTCCCCGGTAAGCCTTAGTACTGTACAGGCTGCCTGTCCTCAATAAGCCTTAGTACTGTACAGGCTGCCTGTCCCCGATAAGCCTTAGTACTGTACAGGCTGCCTGTCCCCAGTAAGCCTTAGTACTTTACAGGCTGCCTGTCCCCGGTAAGCCTTAGTACTGTACAGGCTGCCTGTCCCCGGTAAGCCTTAGTACTGTACAGGCTGCCTGTCCCCAGTAAGCCTTAGTACTTTACAGGCTGCCTGTCCCCGGTAAGCCTTAGTACTGTACAGGCTGCCTGTCCCCGATAAGCCTTAGTACTGTACAGGCTGCCTGTCCCCGGTAAGCCTTAGTACTGTACAGGCTGCCTGTCCCCGGTAAGCCTTAGTACTGTACAGGCTGCCTGTCCCCAGTAAGCCTTAGTACTTTACAGGCTGCCTGTCCCCGGTAAGCCTTAGTACTGTACAGGCTGCCTGTCCCCGATAAGCCTTAGTACTGTACAGGCTGCCTGTCCCCGGTAAGCCTTGTACTGTACAGGCTGCCTGTCCCCGGTAAGCCTTAGTACTGTACAGGCTGCCTGTCCCCGGTAAGCCTTAGTACTGTACAGGCTGCCTGTCCCTGGTAAGCCTTAGTACTGTACAGGCTGCCTGTCCCCGGTAAGCCTTAGTACTTTACAGGCTGCCTGTCCCCGGTAAGCCTTAGTACTTTACAGGCTGCCTGTCCCCGGTAAGCCTTAGTACTTTACAGGCTGCCTGTCCCCGGTAAGCCTTAGTACTTTACAGGCTGCCTGTCCCCGATAAGCCTTAGTACTGTACAGGCTGCCTGTCCCCGGTAAGCCTTAGTACTTTACAGGCTGCCTGTCCCCGGTAAGCCTTAGTACTTTACAGGCTGCCTGTCCCCGGTAAGCCTTAGTACTTTACAGGCTGCCTGTCCCCGGTAAGCCTTAGTACTTTACAGGCTGCCTGTCCCTGGTAAGCCTTAGTACTGTACAGGCTGCCTGTCCCCGGTAAGCCTTAGTACTTTACAGGCTGCCTGTCCCCGGTAAGCCTTAGTACTGTACAGGCTGCCTGTCCCCGGTAAGCCTTAGTACTGTACAGGCTGCCTGTCCCCGGTAAGCCTTAGTACTTTACAGGCTGCCTGTCCCCGGTAAGCCTTAGTACTGTACAGGCTGCCTGTCCCCGGTAAGCCTTAGTACTTTACAGGCTGCCTGTCCCCGGTAAGCCTTAGTACTGTACAGGCTGCCTGTCCCCGGTAAGCCTTAGTACTGTACAGGCTGCCTGTCCCTGGTAAGCCTTAGTACTGTACAGGCTGCCTGTCCCCGGTAAGCCTTAGTACTTTACAGGCTGCCTGTCCCCGGTAAGCCTTAGTACTTTACAGGCTGCCTGTCCTCGATAAGCCTTAGTACTTTACAGGCTGCCTGTCCCCGATAAGCCTTAGTACTGTACAGGCTGCCTGTCCTCGGTAAGCCTTAGTACTTTACAGGCTGCCTGTCCCCGGTAAGCCTTAGTACTTTACAGGCTGCCTGTCCCCGGTAAGCCTTAGTACTGTACAGGCTGCCTGTCCCCGATAAGCCTTAGTACTTTACAGGCTGCCTGTCCCCGATAAGCCTTAGTACTGTACAGGCTGCCTGTCCCCGGTAAGCCTTAGTACTTTACAGGCTGCCTGTCCCCGGTAAGCCTTAGTACTGTACAGGCTGTCTGTCCCTGATAACGGGACTTATTGTTATTTACTTATTACTTGCCTTATATTTCTTAGTTAATCTATTAACATTTATTGTGTAGTTTGGTGCCTGTAGCTCTTATTCTTTTATGAAAAGGTCTCATTGTTTAGTAATATACACGTACATTATGAAGGCAATGAGTCACAACAATGTGGCTAAAGTATGTTGACCAGACCACACACTAGAAGGTGAAGGGACGACGACGTTTCGGTCCGTCCTGGACCATTCTCAAGTCGACCGAAACGTCGTCGTCCCTTCACCTTCTAGTGTGTGGTCTGGTCAACTTTTTATACAGTAGTTGCAAGAGGTCAATGCCTGAATCATTTATTTACAACTGGGTTGTGAAACCAAATACCAAACCATCGCAAATTTATGTTTCTCAATATTTGTACAATTTATTTACTTATTGTTGAATGACTGTCTAAATAAAATTGTTATCTACAGTTTATTAATTGTAGAGTTAAGAGTTGTCAAGAATATTAGCTTGTACTGTACATATATTATATGTTGTCAGAAATTATATATTTCATAGACCACCTCGGCTTGCAATATTACCAGTTGCAATATGGCTGAAAGCTCATAGAGGTTATTCCCATATCCTCCCTCATAGAGGGAGCTGGTCGGCCGAGCGGACAGCACGCTGGACTTGTGATCCTGTGGTCTTGGGTTCGATCCCAAGCGCTGGCGAGAAACAATGGGCAGAGTTTCCTTCACCCTATGCCCCTGTTACCTAGCAGTAAAATAAGTACCTGGGTGTTAGTCAGCTGTCACGGGCTGCTTCCTGGGGGGTGGAGGCCTGGTCGAGGACCGGGCCGCGGGGATACTAAAGCCCCGAAATCATCATCATCATCTCAAGATAGCAATGTGTATCAACTTCCAAATCAACAACATTACCTTACAGCAGACTGAGGAAGAAAAGAACAGAGTCAGAATCCACCAATCACTGAAAGATACAAAACAGGTGGAAGCTGCAGTAGGCAGGCAGATTCATGGGGAATAGTCAGATGAAACTTTGACTTTAAGGACAAGAAGGTAGTTATATCCAAGCATGGAGACATCATGTTCAGAAAGAAATACAGTACTTGTTTTGGAGAAATGTTTAACACTGAGTGATACAAATCATTCCTGAACTAAGACGACTTTTATACCAGGAACGTGAGGACCACAAGGCTGACAATACTGCAAACCAGACATGACAGGGTGGATCGCATCGAAACTTAAAATACTAAACAGTTTAGAGGTATTGATCCAGACCACTTTTTTAAAAGGTCAGATTTTTAAGACACATCTTTACCAGTGTAATCATCTCTGTCAATTTATATTGAAGTTATATGTTAGTATAAAATTTTGCTACAATGTACCTATTCATCTTACTTTATCTGTTAGATTAAACACCTTCCCAAAATGCTGTACATGTTAATGACTTTGCAAGAATGTAAAAATACCAATACAGTATTATGTACTCTTACAAGCCCATTATACCTTGTAAGTAAATAAATACTGCCAGTAAAAGCTGTAACATAACCAAGGAGCAATGAATTAGAGCTCAACAAGCTACAATGAAGGACAGCAAACAAGAGATGTTTTTTTCACCCATAAGGTTATGAACCCTTGGAACTGCCTACCCACTGAAGCCATAAATACCAAAACATTGCTGCAATTTAAGATCAAGCTTGATATAAAACATGTCAAAGACGCAACTTTTCTGAAGAGTGCAACCCCTTCCTCTCTTGTTGAGAAAGGGTGGGGGTTTGTTGCCTCTCCTGACCTAGGGCCTACAGAAGAGCCCATAACCTCACTCACCCTCTCTTGCACACACCTGCATTACTGCTACACTGCTTCTCATGCTTAACATAAAACCCTCTTCCCTCCCTGGTTCAGATTCCCTCCTGGCTCAGATCCCCTCCCCCTGAGGAAGGGAGGGGAGGGCTTCACCGGAATCCTATGCAAACTCGCAATCTTCCAAACTTAACCGCCAGGCCCTTCCTCTCCTCACTTCCTCATGCATTATTTCCCATTCCCACAACTTCTCAGTACAGTACCTATATGTAGTTTGTTCACTGACTCAGCTAACCTGCACCTGAGACCTTATGTTAATCCCTTCCAGCATGCCCTCGGAAATTGTTCACATCAAATAGCACATGCCCAAGCACTTCTTTACTGTGCCAACTTTTGTACCCTGTAATATTTTGCCAAATTAACAATTACCACGTTAACATTTCAGGCATCTTAATTTTTTCATTTTATATTAATATACAGTACTTTATATTTTAATAAAATATTATTCGCTGTCTCACTCTGTAGTTTTTCTTGACCTTAGAAAAAATCTCCAGGAAAAATGGTGGAACTTTTGACAAGCCTCTGGTTTCCTGTCCCTGTCGAGGCTACTAGAGATAGTAGCCCTTAGGTAAAATTCAGGTAAATGAATCTTCAGAATCAAAACATATCTTGAAGAAAACAAGACTTAGTGGCTCATCATTTGAACCACCCAACACTAAAATGCTTTTTAATACTGCATTGACAAATGCAAGACTGCATGTGGAGCATAGCAATCCAAGTCACAACTACCACATTAATAACATTACATTACAGCAGATTGATGAAGAAAAGGACCTTGTAGTCTAAATCTACTATTCACTGAAAGTTGCACGACAGGTAGGAGCAGCAGTCAAAGCTAGACAAACCCTTGGAATAATGGCTAGCTTCCGGCTTCCTGTCCTCGTCGAGGCCAGTAGTGTTAATGTCCCCCTCAGGTAATGTAGGTAAATAATCAAGCATACCTTAGACTACAAGGAAAAGAAGGTAATGATTCAAATGTATAAATCTCTGGTGCACCCCAATTTGATTTGGATTATCCAAGCATTGAGACATTCTCTTCAGAAGGACAGATCTGCTCTGGAGAAGGTGAAACAGTGGGCAACAAAAGTCATTCCAGTGCTAAGTCAACGATCATATCAGGAACGGCTGAAGGGTTAAGGGTTAACATCTGCCTTTTCAACCAGGCATGAAAAGGCAGATCTCATTGAAACTTGAAATACTGTACTGAACAATGTGGAGGTTGTTGAGCCGGACAACTTCTTCAAAAGGTCAGATGTAACACAAACAAGGAGCAACGGTGTTAAGCTCAACAAGCCACAATGCTGGACTGAGAACAGGAGTTGCTTTTTCATCCATAGGGTTATAAACCCATGGAACCGCCTACCGTCGAAGCTATAAATTAATTATGCCGAATGCTAAAACTTTTAAGCCTTAAAACCCAGCTTAAAAAAAAAATCATCAGGGCCAAATGCGGGGGTTCTTTGACAAGCTGTTGGCTTCCTGGCCTCATCAAGGCCTCTAGATTATTAGCGGCCCTGAGGTAAATTCAGGTAGAATAAAAAATGCCTACTGACCACACGTTGCATTTAGGGCAAGTCCCTAATCCTATGTTCCCTGGACTACAACTCGCCAAATCGTTTAACAACCAGGTACCCATTTTACTGTTGGGTAGACAGAGACCACAGTTAATGAGTGGTGTCCAGTCAATCCTCTCCGGCCAAGATATGAACCCATGACAAAGCACTCGCGAAATGCCAGGGGAGTGTCTTACCACTACAAAATGGGGACTGCTTGTCTCAGAACTCAGTACAGTATATACTCCTCAATAAGTAAACTCAATACTGTACTGTATATACACCAAGAACTGGGGTACATTTAGCACATTGCTGAGTGCTGTATACCTATACAGTATACTAATTATAATTAGTTTGTTTATAACCAAAGAAAAATAAAAAATTCTCCATATGTACTGGTGTCAGTTTTACATATATATCTGTATCTATCTGTAAAGATTGCGATTCAAAAGATTTGTTGAAGAACAAAGCAATAACTGGTGCTAGTATAGTTCACTGTGTCAGGGGACAGGAAGGCAGAGTGTATTCATACACATTAGGCTTATATCGAGACCTCCCTCCATTAAGGTTGAATTACTGACCCCGCCCAGGATGCAACCCCACAACACTCTGACTAACTCCTGAGTACCTACAAGCTGCTAGATGAACAGAGGCATTAGGTGAAAGGATTCGACGATTGTGCATCGAGAACAAACCCGACTGTACTACCGGGATCAGTATGTTTTGTATATAATGAGTTGCATTACAGTAATTACTGAGAATGGAGGAGTATCAGTAATTAATGAGAGGGGAGGAGTATCAGTAATTAATGAGAGGGGAGGAGTATCAGTAATTAATGAGAGCAGAGGAGGGGTATCAGTAATGAGAGTAGAGGAGTATCAGTAATTAATGATAATGGAGGAGTATCAGTAATTAATAAGAGGGGAGGAGTATCAGTAATTAATGAGTGGAGGAGTATCAGTAATTAATGAGAGCAGAGGAGGGGTATCAGTAATGAGAGTGGAGGAGTATCATTAATTAATGAGAGGGGGAGAAGTATCAGTAATTAATGAGAGTGGAGGAGTATCAGTAATTAATGAGAGGGGAGGAGTATCAGTAATTAATGAGAGGGGAGGAGTATCAGTAATTAATGAGAGTGGAGGAGTATCAGTAATTAATGAGAGCAGAGGAGTATGAGTAATTAATGAGAGTGGAGGAGTATCAGTAATTAATGAGAGCAGAGGAGGGGTATCAGTAATGAGAGTGGAGGAGTATCATTAATTAATGAGAGGGGGAGAAGTATCAGTAATGAGAGGGGAGGAGTATCAGTAATTAATGAGAGGGGAGGAGTATCAGTAATTAATACGAGGGGAGGAGTATCAGTAATTAATGAGACCAGAAGAGTATCATTAATTAATGAGAGCAGAGGAGGAGTATCAGTAATTAATGAGAGCGGGAGAGACCGTTCGTGTAAGACATGTTACACGAACGCCGCCGCCTCGAAGACCCAACAATCCGTCAATGTAAACAAATATGGCGGTGAGCGAGTGACATGGCTGCTCGTCGTGCCATATTGTAGTGGCGAGGCTGCTTGAAGGTGAACTTGAAGGTGAACAAGTGGGAGTTGTGCGGCCGCTGGAGCAGCGGGAAGAGACGAGATGCCTCCCAAGCGTAACATGTCCGCTGAGGACCTGGACGACGCCGACGACGACGAAGTGGTGAGTTAACAGCTGGATTCTCTTGGTTTTTTTTTTTCCTTCAAAGTGAAATTTTTGTAATTCGAAAACGACTTAGCAATTATTACTTCCCATACAAAATATTTATTTTTATGTTATTTGTCAATCTATTGTGGCTGGGTATCTCATTAACGCTCTCATATTTGATGGATTGTTCGCTTAGTAGAAAAAAATCAACTAATATTTATACTTTCATTTTCTTCTATTTGTTTACCTTCTTGTTGCTGTTGGGGTTATGGGGGGTAATTGTTGCTTCTTGTTGGGGTGATGGTGACTGTAGGCCAGTCACGCCACACTGCCAGTGTCTCGAGTCTGGCTACAGCTGATAAATGGAACGAAGTTACACACAGAGATCACACAAAAAACATGCGAAAAGTCATTTCACTTCGACATGTAGTGTGCTGCCTTCCTTTTGTATATACATGTATAGTGCCGCCTCCACTCAACATTATTGAGCAGTATAGTTGTACACTTCATTCGTGGCATTATTCATCATTTTCATTGATACTCAAGGTAGTTTTTGTTTCTGTATTGATCAAGAAGACATTCACTTTGTGCAAATTGTTTAACTCTATGATATATTTTAGTTTGAATTTTGGAAAGATTATTTGCATATACTGTACAGTACTTTTAAGCAGAATTATTTACCCATAATTAAATTATTTATTTAAATTTCCTTAACATTTTATGCACCCAAATTTAAACACAAAAAATTGTGTATTGTATAAAAGTGTATGACATTTCAGTTAATATAGTATATAATATACCAGAACGGGAGAGAGTTACTTTGTCATTACTTTCAGGAAAAGTTGATCAGTAAAGATGATGACGTTGCAGACGATGATGAAGATTTCTTCCTCAAGTAAGTTATATTTGAATGATGTGGTAATAATGTGCTGAATATTACGAAACAATCCTTTTTGAGCGGACCCTCAGTTGCAGGTTGGTCTACCCAGGACACAGCATGCACCCAGCTCTCTTTGACCTGCGCCTTTCTCCTCAGTAATAATAAACACTAGAAATGGTCTTGTCACTTAGCTAGGGAGGAGCAAATAGGAGAAGTAAAGTTCACTCCACCACCAAAGAACTTCTAGCTATGATAAAAGGGGTGTGTGCTTGGGAGTACCTTGTTGTTGTTGTTTAAGATTCGCTACCTGGAACACACAGTTCCAAGTAGCACGGGCTATGGTGAGCCCGTAGTGGACTTAGTGAAAGGGGTGTGTGCTTGGGAGTACCAAGTGTTGGAATCCTCCTCACGGATCCTTCTGATTTTCCTCAATGATACATCACGTTAATGTGATTTCATCGTTCATTCTAACTATGATGCTAAAGAGCGGAACTATAATAACCAACACCTCTTTAGAGACCATATGTTGTTGTTGTTGTTAAAGATTCGCTACCTGGAACAAAGTTCCAAGTAGCACGGGCTATGGTGAGCCCGCAGTGCCTTTTTTAGAGACCATAGGAATCATAATTCAGCAAGGACAACCAGTTGCTAACCACAGTACTCACAACTCTTGAGTACCATCAAACACCAGCAGTATTGCAACAAGCTTGGAGAAGCAAGCAACTCTTACTATAGACAATTATATTTGTATTACAAGAATGCCTTAAAATATCTCTGTTTTATTTATACTAGACTATTTACACTCTTGTAGAACCAGTAATACACACAGCATTTTGGGCAGGGCCTTTATCTTACTTTTTCCCGGAATACGACCCACCAAATCTTTTAACAACCAGGTTCCCATTTACTGCTGAACAGGATGAACAGAGGCATACAGTTAAGGATTGGTGCCTAGTCGAGGCCAGGCTCGGGGAGAATAATAACTCCCAGAACCCTCTCCAGGTATGCTTTCTCCAGGTAGTCAATCCTCCTCATTGGTTAATGAATCCAAATTGCTTGTGAAGTGCGGGGGGGTGAGTGTTACCACTGCGCCACAGTCTGTCTGTTCAGATTTGGGGTGTGTCAGTCTTAGAACTACTGTATACTGTACCATATACATGTACTGTAGTATGTAAGTCTTCATTATGATAACCTAAATACTGTACTTTGAAAATTGCAATTTCTTCATATTTTTAAAAGATGAATTTTGTTGGGTACCTGTTCCAATAAATAACTGAGACCTGGTCTCGTAACCTTATACAGAATAACATTTCTGCCACTTCAACTGATCTTATCTTACCTGTAATGATATTTCAATATAAATGCACTAATGTATATGTAGGAAATTAATGAAGTTTTTGTTATGTACGTTATTTAGCATAGATGAGTGTCCTCAACCGTCAAATTACACTTCAGGGGGGTAGGGCGTTGAGCTCATTAACCAGACTTGGTCTAGTTATTGGGGTGGATTAACATAAATTTCCATGTCTGGATAATCCAAAAATCTAGAAATGGGGATCTCAATAAAGGGAGTAATTGTATAAATAAGTGTAATACATTCTATAGTAATTCACTTCTTTTCTTCACCTTAAAAATGAAGCCATAGTACGCTCGGAAAGAAGCCGAGCCAGTTAAATCCTAATCACACAATCATCTTCAGCTACCTTACACTAAACACCCTAATCCCCACACCCCACAATTACCCCCATGCAGCATCCATATCAGAGTTCCCTATCCCTTTCCTTGCCAACCTATTTACTTACACTTTCACGCCTTTTCTACGTTAATTCCCATCCACCTACAGCTTACTTGCAACAACACATCATCCAACTCAAACTTGACCACCTCACACCACCAACCATAAACCTGCTGACAAACCATATTTGCACACCGTGCATATCCAGCCACCATGTACCCGTACTACTACTCAAAACCCAAGCACACTAAACTACACAACAGTATACACATCCACACAACCCAACCTCTCACACATTCTACCATCAACTGTTTATACAGCCTACTGCCACCATACAGAGCTACAAAGAGGTTAGAGGCATTAAATGCAGTATACCGGAGCTAAAAGATAGAAAAAGAGGCGATATGATCACTATGTACAAAATAGTAACAGAAATCGACAAAATTGATAATGAATTCTTGTACTGTATACTGTTCTTCAAGAACAAAAAGTCATAGATTTACACTAGCTAAACAAAGCTACCAAAAAATATTAGAACATTCACTTTCACAGAGTGATAGACAGTTAGAACAAGTTAAGTGAGAAGGTGTAGGAGGCCAAAACCATAAGTGGTTTCAAAGCATTATGTGGCAAAAGAGTATCGGGATGACAGGACACCACGAGCATAGCTCTCATCCTGTAACTACGCTTAGGTGGTTACCAACATACATCCCAACTATTTACACACCCCACCACCAACATACATATTCCCCACCAACTGTACATCCACCCCCACTCAAATTCCCACCAACTGTACACCCACCCTACTTAAATCCCCATGAACAGTACTGTACACCCACACCACTTAAAACCCCACCAACAGTACTATACAGTGGTACCTCGGAATGCGATTGTCCCTGTATGCGAGGTTTTCGGAAGGCGAGGTGTATTTACTCCAAAAATTTGTCTCAGAAGGCGAGGGTTACTTCGGGAGGCGAGTTTGGACGCGAGTTTGTTGATACGCGTACAGCCGACCTAGCGCGTTCGTCGCCCCTCCGCCCCTCAGTTTATTATTGTCTCGCGCTCAGTGACTACCCCCACATCAATTCTTCTCGCGGATTTTCAGTGTTTTGTTGGATTTTTGGTGATTTGTCTATACAATTTGTTATTATATATCTCACCATGGGTCCCAAGAAAGCCAGTGGTAAGGATAAAGGCCAGAAAGCTCATGTGAGGATGACAATAGAGGAGAAACAAGAGATCATTCGGAAGCATGAGAACGGTACACGTGTTGTTGAACTTTGTAGGCAGTACAACAAAGCCACATCAACAATATGCACTATACTTAAGAAGAAAAATAAGATTATGGGTGCTAAAGTGGCAAAAGGAGTAAGAACATTAACGGCACAAAGACCACAAATAAGTGGTATCCATAGTGTTACAAGGCATGGGGTTATGTGATGTGATTATGGAAGGGGACTCCCCTTCCAAACAGTAACTCCTCTCCTCCTCCCCCCTCCTCACCATCTTCCATACGCCTACAGCACTCGACAGCAAGGTAAGTAATAACTGGAACACAGTTTTGTAGGTTTATTTAGATGAATTAGGTAAATTAGGTATAAAAATTTAGTTTGATGTGGGGTTTTTGGGGTAGTCAGGAACGGATTAATTCATTTCCCTTTATTTCTTATGGGGAAATTAACTTCGGAATGCGAGTTTTCGGAAGGCGAGGCGTCTCCAGGAACGGATTAAACTCTTATTCTGAGGTATGCCTGTACACCCACCCCACTCAAACCCCCTCCAACTGTGCACCTGCAACCCATCCTCTCCATACCATCCATACAGCCAACTCACCCACATCCCCACCAACCATACACCCATATCCTCACCTACTATACACCCACATCCCCACCTGCCATACACCCACGTCCCCACCGACCATACACCCACGTCCCCACCGACCATACACCCACGTCCCCACCGACCATACACCCATGTCCCCACCGACCATACACCCACGTCCCCACCGACCATACACCCACGTCCCCACCGACCATACACCCACGTCCCCACCGACCATACACCCACGTCCCCACCGACCATACACCCACGTCCCCACCGACCAGACACCCACGTCCCCACCGACCATACACCCACGTCCCCACCGACCATACACCCACGTCCCCACCGACCATACACCCACGTCCCCACCGACCATACACCCACGTCCCCACCGACCATACACCCACGTCCCCACCGACCATACACCCACCCCACATATGACGCAATAATTTTCTTTCTCTGTCCATATTTTAAAACGTATGTACAGTGTACATATACATGTACAATGGGAGCCGGTCGGCCGAGCGGACAGCACCCTCGACTTGTGATCCTGTGGTCCCGGGTTCGATTCCCGGCGCCGGCGAGAAACATTGGGCAGAGTTTCTTTCACCCTATGCCCCTGTTACCTAGCAGTAAAATAGGTACCTGGGTGTTAGTCAGCTGTCACGGGCTGCTTTCTGGGGGTGGAGGCCTGGTCGAGGACCGGGCCGCGGGGACACTAAAAAAGCCCCGAAATCATCTCAAGATAACCTCAAGAAGATAACATAAATATGTATATTTGTATTACTGTATTGGGCATTTTGCTTATAATAGAGTTGGGAATACGTCCTTTGATTGGTTGCAGTTGACACACACACACATTGAAACTTGTATACTTGTGATTTTATTCATGCCTGATAGCTCTCAGGCTGTTTGGAGACTGATGTTCACTCAAGAACTTGTAGTTCATCATTAAGAAATGTTGGTTTTATTGTTCAGTGTGGTTATGCATAGTTATCTGCTCTAACATGCATTATCTTCTCTTAAGTGACATTATCTAATCTTGCCGAAGTTGCTATCTCGAGCCACGCGTTATCTTTTCAAATACTGAGATTGTTTATGAATACATGTGCACCTTGTTGGAACTTTGTTTGAGACACAATTTTCACACAGCATAAGATGTAATGCTCTAGTGTGTGTCCCTGCCTTTGTCCACACTGTACATTTCATGTTGTCTAGATTCTCATTCCAGCTGAAGGGATAAATACTTGTAGCCAAGTTGTATTCAAGCTGTGACAACATCTGTCAGCATAATGTTGATTTGTTATTTGTCCCATACGTGTTTTCTGTGACACATTTCGTTGTGGTAATAGATTTGCTACTTCCTTTTTATACATTTTTACTCTTTTGAGAATTCTTGTAGAATTATACTTTTTAGAATTTTATTTGATAGCCCGCACTTATGCTCAAGAGTGTCTTTATTTATGGTACACTTAACATGGGCGTCACCTTAATCATATTCTTGCAGCCCAGCAAGTTGACCCTTATTAAGTATTCATACATATCTAAGTCTGTCTTCAGAGACAAGCATGTTATAATTTGATTGTTAGCTATTTAAATCTAGTAGCGAAGAAATAAATTTGGAGATAATTTGGCTGTCTACTGCAGTGCTTTAAATAATTTTGAGCAGTACAAGAAAAGCCCACAGTTCATCTTAGGTGGATACCCAATTATTGACTTGCATTACCACTCAGACTGGACAAAAGTGTTGGTCTCGCTTCCTGCAGGTCGGTGTTCAATCCCTGACTGTTCAAGTGGTTGAGCTTCCCTTCGTGCTGCCCTAAATCCTTATTGCCATGTGCCTTCCCAGTACACTAGAAAGCACTAAGTCATAATGGGTTAGTGATGATGTGACTCCTGATGATTACCTTACCTCCTCTCATCTGTGTTACCATTGTACTGATGAGTAATGACAACACTTCCCATCCTCCCAGTAGATGAATTGACACAATGGCCCCCACAACCCGGCTTCCTCCTACAGTTTATGAAACCGTAAAAGATTTTGATGTGTTTAGCCACATTTTGAGGGTTAAGACTTGGCACAATCCTGTCCATTGGACCAGCAAAGTCTTGCTGTGTTCTGGCCAGAAAGGACCTTTTGATATGCACTCAAAGGTTGATTTTGTTAAACAAAATTAGCATTGGTATTTATTCAAATTCTCATATTTTCAGAGGACCCTCCAGCAAGAAGACTGTTCGATTTGCTGCTGATAAATTAAAGGAGTAAGTATATTATGATCATATTGATTTTACGTTTGATGTATTTCTGAATCATAATACAAATGTGACATATCACCATGACCTTCCTCCTGTTGCCAAAATAGGAAGTGGGAAACTTCTCTGGTTATAATATATATTGGTCACACAAGATTAACTCACGGGTGCTTGATGGAGCATACATGTGCACCTTACTTTCAGAACCGCCTTATTCTGCTAACAGTCGCCACCTTGTACAATGTCCCAATTTTAAAAACGATAACAAATTTTACTTTCCCACTATTTCTTGGAGTTAGTGTTGTCTTAATTAAAATTTTCAATGAATCTGCCTCCTCTGTCGGTGCTCATCTTATCTTTCTGCTATTGTTTTGGTAATGCTGTTTAGTATTACAACTTAGTGCTATCTTTTGATATTTATTTTCTGAAGCGTAGTACTGTGCGATTATCATGTTGCAGACTACTGTAGGTTACCTTTGATCCTTTGTAAGCCATTTGTCATGCATATACTTTGCATCAAAATGTATGTACAATATTAGATTTACATTAACTGTACTTGAAAGTGTAGCCTGGTGTTCTGGGGTACAAACATGGAGCTGAACACACCAGCCCTTGGGGGGGGGGGTTCCCAGAGGAAGAATTCTTTTGGAAATATACAGTTACAAATTACTTTTACTATTGAAGATGAGCACTTCCCCGAAGCTTCACTGCACATGAGGATCACTATCCAGAAGCTGATCATGATCATTCCACACAATCATTCTGTACACTGTCCTCACTACACACCATCCTCATTATTGACAATCTTCACTATACAAAATCTCCACAATGCACATACTGTACAATCATCTTTACATACAAGCGTAATTATACGCAATCTTCTGTGTGCACATGAGGTCCTTGCTGTGTGTGACTTTCATCATACTCGGTTCTCATGTTGGGTTTAGGATCATCTCTGCACACACGATCACCAGTGCAGGTGAAAAACGTTTGCTGTCAGGATCGTCACCACACTTGCTGCCCTTCTTTATATCTCCATCCCTTCAGAATCCATATTCCATTGGTTTTGACGACCCATTGAGATCCTGGGCCCCTAAGGAGGGGGGTCCTTCTAGATCTGAAATTTTGTGCTTTTATAAACTTCCTGCCATTATGACTATATAACACTTAGAAGAAGAATTAAATAAGGATTTGGGATGGGATGCGGTAAATGATGTTGTTGGGTGACTGGGCGGCAGAGTGACAAACACGCTTCTTGCACGTTGACATTCAATCTCCGGCCATCCAAGTGCTTGGCCACCATTCCATTCCTCCAGTCTATCCCAATCATTATCCTCATATCCCTCCCAAGTGCTATATGGTCATAATGACTTGGTGCTTTCCCCTGATCATTATTTTACCTATCTTTTCGGGATACTGCACTTCTGCCTTCCTTCAGATGGCAGAAGTGCAGTATTCCAGGAAGGGGGGGGGGGAGGGGGGGGGGGTTAAAGAGCTGGAAAGAGTGAAATTCTTCTGTAGTGATCACAGTCTTCTGGAGAAACTTGTGCTGGAGAGTAATGTGTCAGGACTACAGATAGATGCAGGACTGGAGATACCTCCTTCGATCAGCCGTGACAGATAAATATCTAGTTTCAAGAGAGCTGCAGGCTTTGATATACAGTACAGTACTAATTTCTGGTGTTCAGTGTTACACCTTCCTAAATTGGACAATAAGTTGGAATAAACATACTGTACTTTGGAATACAGAGTTGAAGCATATGCTACTTATATGAATGCCAGCATAATCATCTTTGAAATAAAATGTTTATGCAACTTTAATTTTCAGAAAAGAAGCATAGGAAAAATAGCAATAAATGAAACATTTTAGAAGTATTTGGACAGTATCTTGTAATATAATATGCATAGCATGCTTGATGCTTTTCATATTTAGTAAATGTATAAAGATATGCGCTATAGGAATTTTCCTAATTTTCTATTCATGATTTATCCTTCAATGTTGTGGTAACAGTGTGCGAGTGCAGATAGCCGAGGTGACGGATGTGATGCGTGACAACGTTGGGAGGCTATTGGAAAGAGGAGATCAGTTAGATAACCTACAAGACAGATCAGAAGGCTTGGCAACCACCTCTGACCAGTTTCGTACCTCTGCTACTCGCCTTAGACGTAACATGTGGTGGCAGAACACACGTGCCAAGCTATGCATCGGTGGTGCAGTGACAGTCATCTTTCTTGTGATATTCAGTAAGTCGTATTATCTTACGTTTTACTTTGACTATCAATATACAAATTATGCATCGTAGAATTTTAACCTGGGATTCTAGGTACTGCATAACACAATGAATGACATGTGCATCACTTGATTATTCAGGTTAAACTTAGTTTGGTCTGGCCAGTAGTAGACTGGGTGACTGCCTTAGTCAAGTAGATTTTTTGTTCCGGCATACTGTTCTTAATAGTGATATGCCACTGCTGTACAATAGTCTTGAATTGTACACTAAAATAGTTTTCCTCACATGAACTATATTCTACTGTGTTACAATGTTAAAGTTGTGCGAAAGAATTATTTCCCTTTTGGGAACAGCAGGAAAGTAATGTACTCCCTTTTCTGTTCTGCGAAAAGGGGTTACTGTATGAAATTGGCACTGCAAAGCACATAATAAAAATTTGTGGAATGGTTGGTTGCCCCAAGGTGGACCTCTTGTTGTTAATGTGGAACTAGCAGCTCCCATGTTATGTGGCTCCATTCCCTGAATGTGAGGCCTTTACTGTGGATGCCTTTTAGCCAGACTAGGGTCAGTGGGAGTTACTTTATCTCTTGTTTGGCTTTTGCTGTGTTCTTATCACAGTTGTTTGTTGGCTCCTCATTTCCGGATGTAGGGTTGAGAGCTTCAAGCACTCCTTTGGAAGCAGGGTTTCTGTTCCTTTGGCCTGGGTGAACACTTTCATCATTTCCAGCCTTCTCCTTTTCTGGCTAAAAATTAAACGGCTGGTTTCTGGAGGGGTCCTCTGGTGGTTGACACTTGGTTTGTTCAGTCGGGGAGTGCATTATTTGTTGTGTCCGGTTGCAGCTGTCTGTCGCAACCTCTGTGCCACTTCCAGTGCATGGGCTGATGTTTTAATTGTTGATCTGGTGTCCCTGAACCCATTTGTCTTCGGCTGTCTACAGTGTTGGCAAGTTTAGCCAGCTTGCCGTCTACCTTCGGGCCCATGAGTTTTGTAAGTTTGCAGCTCTTGTGTTTACAAATATTATCCTGGTTTGATGTTCAGGCTTGGAGGTTTTGGTAATCTAACAGTGGGGCTAACTACCAGGTGGGTTGTTTTATGAGTTACCATGCTGTAACCTATTTTGTTTTGATTTACCTTTCTGGTGGTCTTTTCCCAATTTGAGTAATTTGGTATCTTCATCTCCTTGCACCTCTATAGAGGGGGGGGGGGCGGGGCCAGGTTTGAACCTCTGGTCCTTGGTGGGCTCATAATGACTGGTATCTTGAGGTTATCTTGAGATGATTTCAGGGCTTTTTTTTTAGTGTCCCCGCGGCCCGGTCCTCGACCAGGCCTCCACCCCCAGGAAGCAGCCCGTGACAGCTGACTAACACCCAGGTACCTATTTTACTGCTAGGTAACAGGGACATAGGGTGAAAGAAACTCTGCCCATTGTTTCTCGCCGGCGCCTGGGATCGAACCCAGGACCACAGGATCACAAGTCCAGCGTGCTGTCCGCTCGGCCGACCGGCTCCCCTGGTAAAGGCCTTTTGTGATTCAAATTGTGAAGAGCTCTCCAGGAGGTTAGCAACAAGGAGCCACCGAGGACTCTCCAGAAATAAGTGTTTCATTACATTTAGAGATGCTTTTATTTAGCATAAAATATAATCTAGAATGCAACCTATTTTGCATCTGAAAGTTTAGAAATACATGTTTCATGGAATTGGGATTCTATAGAACATCAGAATGACAGTCAATTTTTGTACAAAATATGAAGATCATTTTTATCGTTATGGTAATTTTAACTGATGAGAATAATGGATGTGAAAAACATTGATCGTGGCTTACTAACTTATACTGTATTTTGACATTTGTAGTGGGTAAGGATATGCAAATACATTGAAGTAAAAAATAATAATGTGCTCTTTTTTAATATAACTTTATATATAAGTATATTGTAATAAATACACAGTCCTCTTATTATTATGATATTCCAATATTACTTTCTTTACAGTTCCAGTGATAATCAAAATGAATTCTTAAGATGTCCACCTTGGCAAATACAGTTGAAGGTTGTGGAAGTAACCTAGTCGCTGGTACCACAGATTATCTTTAAGAACCCGGTAGATAATTATACGTTTGTTTTTGGATTTGCAAAATTGTTTAATGTTGGGGTCCTATAAGATATTCCAAAGGATTAACATTTTCATTATTGCATTTTTGCTCCGAGTTTACTTTTGGCTCCAACCTCAATTCTTATGTTTTGTTTTGTGTATTTTTTTGATATAGTTAAATTTCCGAGCTGCTAACTTGACCCGTGTTAATCCTTTTGTATTTATATCCAAATATAGTTTCTGATGTTTAATTATAGAGAGAAAATAATTTTAATTTGTTTTATCAGCTAAATCAATATAGTTGCTACTAAATATATTTAGGTTTATTGAGGTAATAAATAATTTCGTAGGTAGTCCAATGTATTTGGAATGCATTTACATGCACTTATTTTTCTATTGTGAGAAGCACTTTATTAGATCAAATTAGTTTTGGTTCATAGATTATGTGTAGAATATATTAGTATATTTTTATAATTCTCTCAATTTTCTTATAAACAGTAAGTGGAGCATAGAAAAATTATGTTGTATACATTATTTCTTTATTCCGCCTTTCTTCTATAGCATTATAAAGCCTTAATGCAGACTGAGAATCATATAGCATTGTATATTGTGTAATGGTAATGACTAGGGAACTGGTATGTATATTAGTGGTTACCCGGTGTATGATGTATTGATGGTACACTCTTCCAGTGGTTTACTTAGCTGCGGTAAGTTGCTGTCAAGTTGTAAGAATCCCTGATATTTGTATGTAAGAATCCCTGATATTTGTATGAATCAGAAATGTATATAAGGGTTAATTTATAGGAATCCTTAGTAATGAAATGAATTATTAGCTTCACCTGTTTTAAAGTAAATCCACATGTTTGTGTATCTAGCTGTGGTCAGCTTAATAATTCAAGCACATGTAGCTAAGGTTGGCTATATTTTATTGTACCTATGCCTTTCCTTGTGTGTTAATGTAACTAATAATTACATTTCTTTTATGAACAAACTCGAGTACGAAGCACAAGTATCTGCGTCAAGATCACTTGTGTTGTAGTTACTCCATGGTAATGACTACAGTATTAATTTATTTTACAAATATTTTGGTAAATATAACTTGACATCAATGATTATTATAAGTGCATAAAGAATTCCCTTTCTTCTTATATTTTCCCCAGGCCACCACTCAAAGTGCAGTACATGTATGTCTTAAGAATCTTATAGAATCTTAAGATTAATTCTTAAATAGGTAATCAAATTTGTACATTTTCTTTCAATACAATGATAATGTCAGTCATATTATATCTCAAGACGTCCTACAGCTCTGTACTTGGTATAAATGTATGTTTGCACGTTTGAGAAAATCCCAGCAGCTAAACAAACAAATGTTGTACTTGAATTCAGTAATTTAGTTTAGATTGATACAATTACCATATGATAATGATTTTATGTAAATTACCTGTGATGACATAGCATCTAGATATTTAAAATATGTTGCAGCTATTTCTTGGTGATAAAATCTGTGCAGGATTTATTGGAAAGGTTGGGTAGGACTACTAACAGTAGGTTGTGCAACTGGTCATAAAAAACGTTTGAAACTACAGGCGATGAGTCACAATAACATGGCTAAAGTAGGTTGACCAGACCACACACTAGAAGGTGAAGGGACGACGACGTTTCGGTCTGTCCTGGACCATTCTCAAGTCGATTGTACAATCGACTTGAGAATGGTCCAGGACGGACCGTAACGTCATTGTCCCTTCACCTTCTAGTGTGTGGTCTGGTGAACATTTGAAACTACTCAAAATATTGACTGGTGTAATGGCTATAAAATATATCTTGAAATAACATGTGTGTATGGCCACACTATACCTTGAGAATGTAGCCAAGTCTTAGGAGAAAACTGCCCGTTTGACTGCAACTTATGTTTTATATTAAATCATCCAAGCCGATATAATTATTGCCCCATCTCAGGTTAATATGTCCTTACATCGTTCATGTCCCATATGTAGCAAACTTTGTGGAAATATTTTGTATTGTGTGCATGGAAAAATGTCACCCGATTACAGTAATGTTTTTATGTAACAATGTTTATGATGCTGCTTTGATCAGAAATATTTGTTAGTACATGTATAGTATTGTCAAACTCAAGAAGGATTTCAAGTTTCCAGAATTTTTGTTTGCCTTTATTTCACATTATAATACAATCATAATTAATGTTATTTTGCTAATTAATGTATAATTTTCTTTGGTTAAAGGGTTTTTAATGTTGAGCATCTTTGTTTTAAACACACACTAAACTATGTCATAAACATTCCTTTATATACTTGTGCAACTATCATAAGATTAACTTGTTAAAAATTCTTAATATGAAAAAACTAACAAAAACCAAATGTAGTTTTGTTAGTAATGTATTACGCGTGGTATGTATCATCTCGAGTGTTTACGTACAATAGTATCACTAGTGTGGGGGCGTTTCATCCATGCCTTGTGTCGTTGAATGTGTGAAATAATCCTACCATAAGAGTATTTCATACTTGTACTTGACTGCCTACTTAATGTACAGCAAAGTTGTACTTTGTTTAACAAATTTAAAGTGTAATAATTTGTATTTTTTTTATTGTCTGAGTTGTACAGAGACTAATAATTATTAATATATTCCCATTTATGATTCTTTGATTTATTCAATTAGTACTCGTGTCACAGTAAACAAAAGATTCATTACGTCAACGTTGCCCTGTTGTTACGCAAGTGGTTACGTTATTTTCTTTGCCATCATGAGTCCACTATGAGCGGCAGAGTGAAGTATTATTCAGTAGAAAGATAAAAAGATTGCCTAGTTTTAAATGATTAGTTCACATATTTACAAAGAACGCCCTCATTATGGCCGGTACCTTGGCCTGGTGAGGTCGTCTCAAGAAACGTTACGATCAAAACCCACCTTCTGGAGGTTATCTGGAGATGATTTCGGGGATTTTTAGTGTCCCCGCGGCCCGGTCCTCGACCAGGCCTCCACCCCCAGGAAGCAGCCCGTGACAGCTGACTAACACCCAGGTACCTATTTTACTGCTAGGTAACAGGGGCATAGGGTGAAAGAAACTCTGCCCATTGTTTCTTGCCGGCACCTGGGATCGAACCCAGGACCACAGGATCACAAGTCCAGCGTGCTGTCCGCTCGGCCGACCTTCAATAGCCTCTTTGAAATTTCACTTCTGTCCTAAGGCAAAGGAAGACAAAAGTCTGTCAGTGGAAGTCCCACCGGTGTGTTTACTATGCATGAAAACATGTATATTCCCTATTTTCTTTCATCTTGGAATTTAACATCTCGGGAAGTCTGACCCCCTTTGTCCACTGACCAATTGCCTATCATGGACATCACCAATATTTTTGCAGTCAACTCCTTTCAGCCAAGTGATCTGTAAACCTTTTCCTGATTTTTGTTTTGTTTAACTCATTCAGCTATGGAGCCACACGTACCAACAGCTATACCAGCAGATATGAAGAAGTATACATTTCTCTATTTTTAGATAACCTGAACCTGATACTCTTTTTAGAGGAAATCCCAAAGTTTACCACACTGATTTAATTCTAAAGCTTTCAATTCCTTATTCACAACCCAGTGTGGACTAAGAGGGGCCAGAAATGAGCAGTGGAGCAGCAGTTTGATAATGACGTTGCAATAGAGCAAAGAACAAACCTGAGCAGATGTATAGCCCGAGATGGAGGAAAACAACAGTACAAGATCAAGTGATTATACTACCAGAACAAGGAGGATCATTCATGGAGAATGACAAGGAAGTGTGTGAAGTAGTCAATAAGAGGTACCAGGCGTTCAGAATCGGAACCCAATGGATGTGGAGAGGCAATAACGGGCAGTCAGAAGTAGCACTGAACAAAGGTACAGTACTCTACATTTAGTTTCATCAGGTGGCTTTTTTATATATAGTCAGAACAGTAGGATCAGACATATCATCTCTGTTATTGAAGAGCTTCTGTTACCCACTGACAAGACCTTTATACGACGAAATTGGAGGACACTTACAGATTGGTGATATAACAATCACATCAATACCCAAGTGTTCTCTTAGTTTTTATATTAAACTAATGATACACATTAAAATTTTACAATCTACCCTTTAATAAAAAATTTAAGTTTTTAAAAAGTGAAGTATGAAAATTATACTACTGTAATTGTAATATAAAAACATTACATTCAAAATAACACAGTAAGGTATAACTGCATCGGCTAATGGAGTAGAGTACTGTACTTACTGTTCAGTAGTTGGTCCCAGTTACTTATAGAAGCCTTTTGGTGGAAGTGAAAATATATCTGCCGTTGATGGTTCTTTCCGCTCGTCACACTACGATTCTGTTGACAATAGCTTTGAATTTGGGAAGAGGCAAGCTAAGTGTTTACTAGTTGTGTTTTTGCGTGGGTTGAGCTTTGCTCTTTCGGCCCGCCTCTCAACTGTCAATCAACTGTTTACTATTTTTTTTTTTTTTCCCACACACCACACACCCCCCCCAGGAAGCAGCCCATGACAGCTGACTAACTCCCAGGTACCTATTTACTGCTAGGTAACAGGGGCATTTAGGGTGAAAGAAACTTTGCCCATTTGTTTCTGCCTCGTGCGGGAATCGAACCCGCGCCACAGAATTACGAGTCCTGCGCGCTATCCACCAGGCTACGCGGCCCTACGAGGCCCCTAAGTGTTAGCTTCCCAGTGTTAGAAAATTAGCTTGTTCGTTTATTGAGCTTATTGGTCCCCCTATGCCAACTACTTACCTTTTTCCGAGAGTAAACACAACTGCCACTCCCAGGTACCTACTGCTAGGTGAACAGAGGCATCGTGTGTAGGAAAACGAGTCTTGACGTCTCGTCCAGCCCGAGACCATTCTATTCCAACCCGACAATAATGTTAATTAATTTACCGAGTGACTTTGTTCTATTCTTTTATTAAACATACTTTAACAATATGGATTGCAGTCAATTGGGATAATGTATGAAGCCATTACCTCTCATTATGCAATTTAACAAACATTGCAACATTTGTTATCAACCGTTATTTGTGCCCTAGCTGGACAACACGTCTACCGTGTACACACCAGTACAAGGTATTTTTGGCCATGTTTAATTTCAAGCCATTAAAGGTTTAAAAAGTGCACCCAACATAATTGCTAAGCTAATGCTCTTTAATTAAAAAGTGTGAAACTCATCTTTAATGATTCTGGTACAAAATTTAATACGTATTGGTAAAATGGAAACATATTGACACATATGCTAAATTAAATAGAGCAGGAGAGAACCCTGAAATACTGTATTACTATAAATCAACACACAGCTACTGCATTAATAAAATACTAAAATTTTGTATGATAATCATATAATCTATCTAATAAGATATTGTCGTCTTATATCTGACTTTGTATCAGAGAAGTAACAACATGCATTTGCAGTATTATGAAGTCAAAACTGGAAGTAAATCACATTTGTTTGTAAACTTGTAATATTGTTTCTAGGCCTATCAATACAATGTGCAAACAAACACAAACATCAATAAGAAGTTCACGCACAGTCATCATTAACTGGTACAGTCACAGTATGTCCTCAAGATAAACGTACAGTATTCAAAGATCAAAGCACTAATTAATGCAGATATTTAAACAATTCCACTAATTGTGGAATTCAATAATCCAATTGCCAATACATCATTTGCTGAAAAAAAAGAAAAAAAAAAACTGAACGAGACTCAAAATATCACTTCTTTTAGAAATCATAGAAAAACAGGAAAATTGAGCAGACTTAATATTCTATAACACTGAGGAATGTATCATACAAATCTAATACAAAAAAAAAATACAATTCCTGCAATTATAAATTCACCAAAACTGCTCTTATGAGCTCTAGTGAAAAAATACATAAACCGCTGTAACTGAATAAATTTCACGAACCACTGTTGAGAAGCTACCAGTCAACCACTAACAGTTATATTCTACAAATATAATACACTTGACTTCACCAAAATATGTACTGCATACATTATCACAAGGATAAGTCTGTACTTTTATATTAACAAATCACATTACATGTACACTGCCTTTCAGTTTCACACGAAAATTAAAAGGCTACAGTTAAACAAACATGGATCAGTATTCTTTAGTCTTCACAACCTACCTATCAAAGTACAGTACTGTACAGTAAATGAAAGCTATCTAAATCCAGATCTCTAATAAACGATTCTTCTCTAACAACCTTAATGCACATAACAAATTGCTTATTTGATGTGGGTTTAATTCATATTGATTGTAAAGCAAAATCAACGTGAATTCATACCATGGGATTGTTTGAAATTGTGGAGAAGCAATGCAGGTGCCAGCAGGAACACCCACTTACCATCTGCCGCTTGTTAAAATGTTGTACGCAACTATGTCTCTTATAATCACACACACTTTACTGAATAATATTTTCAATATGTGACCTGCAAAGTACATTGTACGGAACTTAAAAATTATAACGTTATTAAAATATAAATTTCCTTCTTTGTAACACAAGTCTAAATATGATGTATACCCTATATACCTCTCTCAACATTCTAGGTTTATCTTACTTTTGTTGAAATTTTACATCCTCTCTAAATATTTGACTGTGAATCCCATTTCAAAAGGTGTAAGTGTCCTTTCAATCAGCTGTCCAAGATACATTTATTGTGGTCTCTGAAGCCAGAAACATAGGAGAATCTTGGAGTTAATATCAATCCTAAAATCAAGAGAGCCAGTCGTCGTCATCTTCCTGGTCATCACCAAACAGAGGTGGTGTTGGAGGTCGTGGCCGCCAGTCCTGTAATAGTGTGTGTGCAGTCACCAATAAGGTCATTATTTTATAAACTATATTATGAATCTCATTTAATATTAAAGTTAAAAGTAATAATGTATTCATAAAATCTGATGCCAGTATTTAAATTTTGATATGATTCATTTTGCAACTAAATTACAAACTGCAGATGCATTGTCATATGCACAATGAATATTATACAACCAATTATATTTTGAATGTATTATTCACAATGTTAGTATCATACATAAACAGTTATATGCTAAAAACTGCTGTCTACAGTTGGACTCCCAGTAATCTACACTACACCCACTACAATACACTTCACAAAATTCTCTGAAGATATAAGTTCAATGTGCACAACAACCCAACACCACAAAGAAAGAAAGGCACCCATGACCAAAGAAAGTTTTGTAAATAGTGCGCGGCAACCACTAACTTAAAACATTAATATGTACATAAAGTAAATGAAGTATTAAATTAAATACAGCAACCAAGAGATAAGATAACTAAATGCATCCGAGCTGAGTTACATGGGTCACAGGTGAGGTTAATGGAAGACATCAATTAGACCATTATCATTACCCATTTACACTTTTATGGGGTACATAGAATAATTGGGAATCTAATTTTAAACCAATTGGTGGGTCGTGTGCCAGGGAAAACTAGTAGGGTAAGGCTTACCATGAGCTATGGGAAGGGAAAGCTCTTAGCCTGCTAACAGGAGTCAGCAGTCATCTGCTCCTGTACCCTCCTGTGTAAAACTAGTAGGGTAAGGCTTACCATGAGCTATGGGAAGGGAAACATGTTAGATGCCTGCTAACAGGAGTCAGAAGGCATCTACTCTTGTACCCACCTGCATAAAAAAAAAAGAAATGTGCCTGGAGAAGAAGCCGAATAATATTGTAAAAGGTTATCGACAATAAAGAAAAAGTAGGGCGACAGGTGAGGAAACAAATGAGACAAAAGGCACAGATGAAGAGTGTCCCAATAAGGTAAATTGGTCATCGGGGATATATATATATGAAACAAATGAAGGTAATGAACTATCAAGATAAATGAACACATATAAGGAAGTTAAATCCTATGCTAACAGGTGAGACACGATGCAGGTGAGGCAGCCACAAGAAAAATTAACTTCTGATAATACTCTGAGATATATTGCGTTGGGATGACACGATCTGGATGAAGAGGCACAAAATGGATGAGAACAGTACAAATTAATATGAATTTGATGTTGATATTAAACACTATTACTGTATCTTCAACTTCCATCTTCCAACAGGAGCAAAACTAAAATGCCATTTTTATGCATTGCTCACTTACTTGAGAACTCGCTTATGTTTTTAAAAATTGATAGAATGTGGGTAGAAAAGATTTTCTATTGTCTATGATCATTTAAAAAACATCTGGGACCCATTCCCAAGCAATGATATAAGTGGGTAGAAGGAAAGTCTATCATATTTATATGTCATGAGGTCATCTTTGCTTGTGTAACATTTCACACTGAAAATAACTAGTCAAGTTACAGCCATGACTTTCTACTTGGGAGTAAAATGATTAAACTATCACTTTATTGCATGACATAGCCCTTAGTTACTACACAACACGGCATATAGACATGATACAACTATTTGCCAACACAATTTATAGCCAATCACCAACCAACTTAATTACAAAATATGACTGCAAAATTGCACCAAGCTATCTATAAATATTCCAAGACAACCATTTGCATGAAGTAACCCCTAATTCAACAGTGCATCAGATTTGATCCAGTCTTTAGCATCTACACTACCCAATCACCAGCAGGTATTTAATGGCCATTAATAAGTGACAGCAGTTACTGCAAGGCAAAAGCACCAAACCCCACTCTCCTATTCATGTTAAAATGTGGAATTCATTGCTACCAAAGGTAGCCAGCACATGAAGTGTTTGAGGAATATGCTCCATGCATCCATGTCATTGAACAAAATACTTATCGACTGCATGCATTTTTAGTGTTAATTGGTTCAATTAGGCAATACCAGTGCAAAACATTCAAAATCTCTGTGTAATTCAATTAATTAAAGCAACACTTTCCTAAGCCTGAACGCTGGCAGCACTTACCCTCTCTAAAGAGGAATCCCTTGAACTGTCGCACTTTTCAGAAACTTTCTTTACTTCTGTATTATCCATATCAATAACAGGAATTCTTAGTTCTTTACTTTTGTCTTCTATAGATTTCACAGATTCTTCATTTTCTTTATCTTGGAAGACTCCATCAACCCCATCTTCCTGCTGTTCTTTTCCTAATCTATTGGAAGGATTCAATGCTTGGCAATCATTAATATTACAACTATCACAATTATTGACTAACATTTGAGGAGAACAATCATCAAGACTGGGGGTTGTGGACTTAGGTAAGGAAAGGGTGTCCTCATTTTGGCTCGCTGAATCACTAAACGAGTTGTCTATAATGCTGTCTACACCAACTTTACATTTATGCCCTCTGCTCTCACCTGGATCCTTAGAAGACGGAGGCTTTTCTTCTTTATCGACATTTTCCTTTGTCTCCACACATTTTGATTCTTCATTATCCATTTTTTGATTGATTACATATTTTTTATTACTCTTCACCTGATCTAAAGTTCCACTTGGCTTCACCGGATTATTCGGATTGGATTTCTCTTTGATAACTGAAGCTCTTTCTAATTCAGTACCCATAAGACCTTGTGCAGATGGTGAACTTTCTGCAGTGGAATTTGTCCTGTTAAGATCGTCTATTAGTTGCAGAGTCGTGTCCTGTGGATTATTAAATTATCACCAAAGGAGCACAAATTTACAAATCATTCATTAATTATATTACAATATAACTCATTTAAATAACTAATGTCCATATTAACTCTATGTCATGATATATTTATTAACAAAGGCAAAAGAGAAAATGTAATTTAATTATGATAGTCATCAACTCATATCGTGAAAAACTAATAAAAATTGTAAATATTGTACTCTTCAGTATACAGTGCAAACCTATACTGAAAAACTACCATCCTAATGTGGAATAAAGTTCTAGTCATTACATCTAGTATATTTTCCAAATAAACATAATGAGCACAAAATACACTATACTGTACTGTAAATAGATAAAACTACACACAAGGCAAAATAATTCATCTCCTAGACAACTAAATGCAAATTTAACCTGTTAACCGATGACTAGACAGAACGGACGAATTCACCAGCGCCTTTACGCAGGCTGCCAACCTTACCATACCACTGCTCAAGAAACATAACATTACTACTGGTTTTACAATAGTGAAAGAACAAAACAAAAAAAAAAAAGAATGAAATGCCACACTGGCAGATTATATAAAAGACAGCCAACAAAAGTACCACATATGGACAACTGATAAACGTTCCAGATGTTAGAAGAAGGAAGCTCAAAAGAAAGAAAAATAGCCGGAATTGTGCCAAACTTTGATGAGACTCGTTACTGGGAGAGCTAGTGAGTAAACTTTGATGAGCAGTGCGTATAAAAACCCTTCAACCAAAAGTCACATCAATTACAAAACCTACAAGTTACTCTTTACCAATCAGTTGAAAATGGCACGATAATCGACTGACTCAGCCAGGTCCACGATTACCCCACAGAAATCTAAGTGCCATTGCAAGTCAAGAAGAAGATACATGTCAAGGTATATTTACACATCATCATGGTTATCACGGCTCAAACAACTTTGGAAAATATAATTAAGAGTATTTTAAAAGTTTGAATAAAACTATTACATATTTATATAATAAACACTGTAATATAAGTAGAGTAGAGTTCTGTACACAATAAAACTAAGAATTGAGTGGAACATTACCCTTATAACACTGAGCAAGGTGTACAGGACCTCAGAGCCTAAGTACATCTTCTCTGAGATAAACTGTGCCTTGAGTGTGCGATATACAGTATTCATCACTTTCTTCACCCTCTCTACAACTTCTTCAGGACTACTACTATTGTTGCTCGACTGGTTTCTCGCTGCCTTCTCCAAGCTCCGCGCTACCTCCTCCGCCAACGTCTTCTCGGCTACTAGTTTCTTTAACTGTATCTATAAAATATCTATTTTCAGCAACCTAAAATTTATTAATAAAGTTTGAAATCTTCAAATATATTTGACATTTTCGTACATTTCATTAGTAATATAAAATATAAGTACAGTATCTCCAAGAGGAAAGAACAGGGACTCTTGTAACAATTTTAATGTTGGTGTTTGAGCAATTTAGCTCATGAACATACAGTCAACCCTCAATCTGTGCAATTCCCTCAACAAAGATTTGCAGCTACACATATTGGGGGTCTTGGAATCAAAATGTTATGTGGTTCTCATCACTTTTGCTCAGTTTCAGCTTTAATTTAAAGTGCATCACATGCTCAGTCTTGTGGTCATGTTGCACCAGTTTTACTGGGCTTCTTACACTTCTTGTTCATCTGCTCATTTTCTGAATCCCCACACCTTTGCTATCTGTTCCAAGGCACATCTTTCCCAACTTCTCCGATGGATGATTGCCCTAAAGTCAACTTCAAGCTTACCCCCCTGTGCTTATGATTTATTTTTTTTTATGTCCTGTATCCTAATCAGCCCCTGAACTTCAAATGGATAGGGACATGCCAATACAAGTTCTGGTGGTCCAGAGATACGAGCCAAGAGTGACTCGAGACTACAGTACAACCTCGATTCAACGTACCCCGATTCAACGATTCTCCGGCTAGGTTGCACACTTTTCAGGCCGGATTTACTCACCCGGTTCGACGAACAATGGTTCGCCGAAGCAGGGGATGTGCGGATTTGCTTACGATGTCGAGACAGAGTTCACAGACTGGTGGAAAACTTTCGCATTCTATCACAGGTTACAATTAATAATGCCTTCATATGACAAGTTGGATCACACAAGTGGACCACACAACAAGTGAACCATATGAACCAAACACCAGCCAGAGTGGTCCACACAACAAGTGAACCATATGAACCAAACACCAGCCAGAGTGGTCCACACAAGTGAATGTGTTTTCATGATTTTTGTTCACCGATTTGTGGCACATGTATCTTTGCAAATTAATTTAAAGGCTGAAGCGTGAATAGCTAGCTAATGTGTTGAAATCTTCCTATATACATTTTCTGTGATGAAATAAGATGAGTGAGGGTGGACAGATAAGGGAATACTGTTCTGTACTGTTCACTCACTTTCGTCTGTGTCGTCATAATTCAGTGACCCATGACTTTGAAAGTTTCAAATTAATAAATCATTTTTAAAACCAGTGTTTTAATAGCTCTTTTATTTACCTAGTTAAACTAAACTTAATAAAACCAAAAATATACTGTAATATGATAGATATCTGCTATTTGAGATGTTATGTTATTGACGGCACAACTCCTGCGTGAGTGGATGGGTCTAATCTGTGTGTACACAGCACCATGCGTATTTCGTTTGATTTTGTCACCTCAGTTCAGTGACCTACGGCTTCGAAATAATAAAATTAATAAATCAGTTCTAAAACAAGTATTATTTATAGTACACACCCTCACTTCCTGCCTCGCCCCACCCCCAAGAACCCCCTCTTCTGGGAGGTGGCTCAGTAGATTGCCCGCAGACAACCTGGAGAATCTCCATCTAATACAATAAAGCATTCATGAATCAAGTATTTTTATAACGTTTTATCACCCAAATAATATTGCTAAAAAAATCTGTAACCAAAAATATATATATATGATGATGCACATCCAGAATTTAAGAAACAAATCTGGCTAATGGGGTCGAGTGTGATAGGCTTACGAGAGTGAGCCCGTCCCTCCCCCCCGTACATCCCATACATACACACACACACACTGGTCACATAGTTCAACTCAACACCCATCCATCCATCCATCCATCCATCCATCCATCCCTCCCTCCCTCCCTCCCTCCCTCCATCCATATATCCATCCCCCCCTCCCTCCCTCCCTCCATCCCTGCACAGGTATGTCCAACAAAGTCATGGACTGAACACTCTAGCCTCACGACAAATCAAAACTGTGCGGTGAATCTGTGAGGTCACAGGGCAGAAGGCACTATAGTGGTGGACCAAGTATCTGTCTGTACAAAATATATCTTGCCTGATTTTTACTTGAAATATTACCTACACGTTAGTATTCAAATTAAGGTTACAGTACAGTAATTTTAGTGTAAAATAGTTTTCATAAACTGTATTGTAGTAGTCAACATACAGCAGAACTACTTATCAATACAGTGCTAATGGCATAATACACTACAGTATGTGTTTACTGTACAGCATTCACAACTCCATGAGAATTCAAGATGGACATAACTTTAACAATAAGGTAAATAACAACTATAACTATTTTTTAGTAGAGTAGTAATATATAGGTACAGTAAATAATATGATAATGCATTTTTATTGTTTACAAGAAATAAAAAGACACTGACATGCCTCTTGAAGGTCACCTCTTGCAACGAATCCAATGCTGCAACACACTGGGGTTGGTCCCATATAGTGCGTTGAATTGAGGTTGTACTGTACCTGGAAAACCACACACACACTACAGTATGTACTGTACACACTGACTCAACATGCTGAGGATCCTGTACCTCTTGGGGGAATCTCACTTGGCCATGGAAAACAGATGAGATTAAAACCTAAGAGAAGATAATGAGTTATCTTTGTGCCCCCCCCCTATCCAACATTTTCCTAAATATGAGTAAGTCCAAGTAGAGTAGAAGGCTGTACCACACTGAAGAGGACTCCTCTAGGAACCACTGCCAAGAAAGACCATGAGAGAGCACTCAAATCCCAGGCATCACTGGTACAGACTTCCTGAGAAACCGGCAGATGTTCACCCACCATGATGTCACAAAAGTTTACCACAAAAGGGTTGATGGGACTGACAGATAGCTATGCTGAAGGCTCCTGACCATGGGCTGCACTAACTGCACACTACCAATTTGGCCCATAGGATTTAAAAAAAAGAAAAAAAAAATCCACACGAGAGACAGGCATACCAGAAACTCTACCTCAATCAGGAGCCTGATTAACCCTTAAACTGCGCATGGCGTATATATACGCCCTGAGTAACATGTCCCATGGTGCGCATGGCGTATATATACGCCATAGGGTGCCAGGCCTGATTCAAATGGCCCGCGGCTACACGGGGTTCACAGTAGCTTCCTCAGATGCCATTTAAAAAAAAAATCGTGGGCAATATTCTCAGGTGTGAGAGGCACAGTACTGTTGGAGCAACCAAGGCCAGCGCACGCAGCATGAGCGAACAGCATTGATGTTCTGCTTGTGACCACAGCATCGCCGAAAAATGTCAAAATAAATATATAATTGTTATTATTTAGTGATGACAATATTACAGATGACCCATGACTGTGATATAAATAACCAGGGTTGTGATAATAGCAGGATTGTTGTAATAATTAGCGCTGTGGGAGGAGTGATGCTGAGAGACGGAGGGAGACAGCATCGTTTACTGACTGTGTGGCTAGCTGTTATTGTTTGCATTCACCATACCAGGTCAGTGGTTCTCTATGGTGAACACAAATGTAGATACTTATATATAATGTGTGTATTAGTGTAATAACAGCAAAAGGATTATGCTGGGAGGAGCCATATGGGTGACGGAGGTGACGTCGTCTGCATGATTTGTCTAGCTGTTTAGAGGGTGGCCACTATGCTCTTTGGGCGCACTACAAGCTTAGGTGTACAGTTACGGTGCATACAACATGTAGATATTTATATATAATATGTGTATATAGTGTAATAACACTGCAAAAGGTATTGTTGGGGGAGAAAGTTTAGTGCGTGTGACCTTGAAAGAGTGAGGGAGCCGCCAGCCGCCATCTGTGTATAGCGACGACTCTTAGTGCCTGAACTAACTATATCAGCTTAGCTGTACAGTTGTGGTGAACAAAATATATACATACTTATATATAACGTCTGTATATAGTGTAATAACACCACAAATGGTATTGTTGGGGGATAGCCACTTTTATTATATAAATATATTACAATACACACTATTGAATAATATTACTGCAAAAAAACTAAGAAAAAATCAATCGGAGACATTGAAACAATTAGGTAATAATATCTTTGTGGCAACTCCCATCTGTCAACGCGGGTGATGCTGACCGGGTCTGACGACCGCTCTGTCAACGCCCACTTTTTGCCAGACTTCCTCGGTCAATTGCGCCCAAAATATGTCACCTACGATTTTTTTTTTATTTTTTCCGTGCTCAGGGGACACAAATTAACATGTTTAGAAGACGAAAAAAATTTTTTGAATTTTTTTTTTCTTGCGCACAGGGGTGTAAATGTCCCAAGGACCCCTGAGCAGTGTAAGGGTTAACCCACTTCAGTGATCCTGACCAGCAGGAAGAGGTGTAAATACTGGAAGGATGAACGAGCTCCCCAACAAATCCAGTTCACACCCTCTTCAGGGAGGAGAGGCGCCAAAATGGCTGAAAAGTGAAATAGCAAAAGTATCCAAACAGATTCCAGGAAACACCCCAAAACCCCATGCCTAAAGGTATAATGTGCAGTGAAGGAGTGCGCCAATGCATCTTGAAGGATCAGTACACGAGAAAGCAGATAAAAGTCCGACCCCTTTGTCCAAACCAACCTTACTACTGGCATGAAAGTAACTTAACTATATCTGCAGACGAGAACGTCTTAATATCAGCAACTAAAACATGCCGTGTCAAGTGAGGGAACCTTGACATGGAACTGCCAAGCAGCCACAACCTGAGACAGGACTGACATTACAGTCACCTTCTAAAACCACGCGAAAGACAGGGAATACCTCTTCCTGATCAAGCACGGGGAACATGGAAAATTATCTGCAATTCCCTACTGAAAACAGGGTGTTTGCCTGTTTATCTGTTTGCCAAGAAGCATGGACTTGATATTGCAATCGGGAAGCAAAATGAGAACCTGAAAGGAAAGGCGAGGACCCACTAGTAACTAAATAAAACGAAACTCCTACACATAAAATTACTCAACACTACTAAGCATGATGAATGAATGCACTGAAGTAATGTGGTGACCAAATGAATGTGTACAGTTCATGTCTAGCCCAAAGGCTTAGGATCAGAATGTCTTTGGCTGAACATTTCAACAGGTGCCCAAGCTCCCTGGTCACATGCAAGAGGAAAAATCACAGCTGAATGCATTATTAACCTGACAACGAGAAGGAAAGCTCGGCACATATCGAATTAGTAAGTTACGTATACGTATACCGAATATGTATACCGAATGATAATGAATAGTGATAATGAATATACTGAACAAGCATAAGAAGCAGCCAATAAAGCTAAGGGCCCACTGCACAGGAGTCAAGGCTCAGGATGAATTAACTCTCACTTAACTTTAAAATGTGGTCTCGTATTGACTAGCTGGCATTCACACAGGAGGGGGAAAAAAAGCCTGAAAGAGTGAATTAAGAATGTAAGAATAGAGGTCACTGCAGAAGGCCTATTGACCCAATGTGAGGGCACTCCTATTTATATGTGCCAAAACTCATTCACATATATATACTGTACAATATGTCAAACCTACGCTTGAAACAATCCAGTAACCCCATGTCGCATGTTACCCACATATTGTACGGTATACGTAAAACACATTTAACCGACAGATCACTATCATTCACGCTTCATTTAAGACAGACCGAGGATATACTGTATATACATACTGCAAACCTATATTTACCATAGTCTTTTGTGAACTTTCATGTACCTGTTCCAACCCATTAGGTTGGTAATCGAGTTAGGTTTCTGGACAGACAGATTAATGGCTAACCTCATGCTTGCTAATGTTCTGAGCCTTCTCTTCCTCTACCTTAGAGCAATGGGAACGTAACTGTAGAACTTCTTGCTCCAGCTGTTGAGGGAATAACATAGAAAAAATTATGAAATCATTATACAGAACAAATATTAGTCTATTTTATAATAAAACTATAATTATTATAACTAATCCAACTTCTATAAAGTTGTGAAATAGGAGTAGAAGTCAACACAAGAGGTTATCTTGAGATGATTTCGGGGCTTAGTGTCCCCGTGGCCCGGTCCTCGACCAAACTTCCTTTTTGTTACACACCCCCCAGGAAGCAGCCCGTAGCAGCTGCCTAACTCCCAGGTACCTATTTACTGCTAGGTAAACAGGCACATCAGCGTGAAAGAAACTGCCCACTTATTTCCGCCTCCATCAGGGATCGAACCCGGAACCTCAGGACTATGAATCAGACTCAGAACTATGAATCAGATCAGCTGTCAGACCCTAAGTGAGGGAAGGCGAGGCATGGGAGAGCCTAGACTAAGGTGGCGGAACAACAGGCCACTGTAGTGAGGGATGAGAAATAACTGGTTAAAATAGGCTGGGTCATAACAGAGGTAAAATAAAGTGAGGCCTAGGTGATGTAAAGCATGAAAACCAAGCTAACAAAACACGTTATTGTGACTTATTTTCTGCAAGTTATGATACTTGTTTCAATTTGTTTTACATATCGTAGCTAAAAAATACCTGGCTAATTCTGGATTGTTGAAGTTCAAGTGTCTCCTTATGCTGGCTTTCAGAGTGCAATTCACCACTTCTCTCTGTCCGTGCTTTTTCCTGAAGATAAAAGTAAGATTAATTACTAAAATCCAAGTTCATGAAACTACAAACTCAAGATACACAAGCAAGGACCTGTCATTAACATGAGGGAAGAATGGAAGCTCCTAATTTACTCGAGATTCAAGCATGTAATATCTTGAGGTTATCTTGAGATGATTTCGGGACTTTTTAGTGTCCCCGCAGCCCGGTCCTCGACCAGGCCTCCACCTCCAGGAAGCAGCCCGTGACAGCTGACTAACACCCAGGTACTTATTTTACTGCTAGGTAACAGGGGCATAGGATGAAAGAAACTCTGCCCATTGTTTCTCGCCGGCGCCTGGGATCGAACCCAGGACCACAAGTCCAGCGTGCTGTCCGCTCGGCCGACCGGCTCCCTATATGAAGAGTATGTAGGTCATACTCTTCCCTGACAGTCTTTGCACTCATCATCTCCAGCATTGTTCAGGGGTAAATTTATTGGTTCTCTTAATAGGCCAATAAATGTTGCCAACACATCAGTACAGTACACACACACAATAAATGCTAACTGGTTGAGTAAAGAAAAAAGAATTTAAATATCATTAAACTGAATATACTTTTTAAATGCCACTTGCCATTCCCAGACATCTCAAGTGGTCTGCACCCTGCCACTCAAAGACTCTATAATACACCCCACCACCGCTAAGATGATGCCCAAAACACTTGGCGTATTAGTGGCTTCATATAATATATAATTTATGTACATACCTATTAATAAACCACTGCAAAATATTCTAATGTATACTGCAATAACTTGCATTTTATGACTTGTAGATAAAAATAGATAAAAATCCAACCTTTCCCAAACTGGGTGGACTGGGTTTTAAGAAAAACCTGGAGCTTTTACCAACCCTGGTTAAAGAGGAAACTGTTTGAACATCTTCAAAAGTTGGCCGTGTCAACAAGGATGTTGTTCTTATGCTGGACTGTGAGTAGTGTCTACCATCAGTTTAGTTCATCAGCTTATCAACCAGAGGGATCAATGTGCTTGTAGCTTCGTCTGAGACCAAGCTGCCAGCACACTCATCCCCTCAACCACCTCAAGGTAGATTCAGAGGTAGGCAGGCTTATTCTATAATAACTAAATGACTAAATTTCCTTCCCAAATTATATCTGCAGTGGCAATTCAAAAGAAATACTACCGAGGGATCGGAACCCGGACTGTAAATAACAATGTGAATATTGGATAAAAACCCACACTTGTGTATTTGTGAAATTTATGTAAGGAATTTACGCCAAGTCTTTTGCACTCTCCCGAGTGCTTTGTCAAGATTTGAGTGTGATAAGGACAAGATTTACATCTCAACGCCTAATCGATTAGACATTGAGATGTCTAATCAATTAGATGTTGAGATGTCTAATCAATTAGACGTTGAGATGTCTAATCAATTAGACGTTGAGATGTCTAATCAATTAGACGTTGAGATGTCTAATCAATTAGATGTTGAGATGTCTAATCAATTAGACGTTGAGATGTCTAATCAATTAGACGTTGAGATGTCTAATCAATTAGACGTTGAGATGTCTAATCAATTAGATGTTGAGATGTCTAATCAATTAGATGTTGAGATGTCTAATCAATTAGACGTTGAGATGTCTAATCAATTAGATGTTGAGATGTCTAATCAATTAGACATTGAGATGTCTAATCAATTAGACATTGAGATGTCTAATCAATTAGACGTTGAGATGTCTAATCAATTAGACGTTGAGATGTCTAATCAATTAGACGTTGAGATGTCTAATCAATTAGACGTTGAGATGTCTAATCAATTAGACGTTGAGATGTCTAATCAATTAGACGTTGAGATGTCTAATCAATTAGACGTTGAGATGTCTAATCAATTAGACGTTGAGATGTCTAATCAATTAGACGTTGAGATGTCTAATCAATTAGACGTTGAGATGTCTAATCAATTAGACGTTACATCTCAATGATTAGATGTTGAGATGCAAGTCTCATCCTAATCACACACTCAGACCTTGATAAAGCACTCGGGAGTGTGTGAAAGACTTGGTGTAAATTCCTTACATAAAATTCACAAATACACAAGTGTGGGTTTTTATCCTATGTTATTATGTCTGTGAGAAGACATTACTAATGTGATTATTATTATATTTCATTCAGCAATGATGATAAAGTTGATAAGTATATTTAAGATTACCAATGGGAGTTGTGATAGGTTCTTCCTGGCAATATGTCACCTTGAAGTCAAAATTAAGCAAACTTTAATGTTTTATTAACTTCCCTAGCTAGACCAACTACTGACCTTCCCCCAGGATGCAACCCACAACAGTTGCCTAACTCACAAGTAACGAGGTGCATTAGGTGAAAGGAAACATGCACAACCGTTTCTGTCATGCCTGGTAATTGAACCCAGGTCTCTTAGTTGTGAGCCGAGAATGTAGACCACCGTGCTACAGCACCCATATAATCTCTCCTTACCTCTTCCATCTGCTGTGTTAATGACCGAAGTCTGGATTCTGTGGCTTCAGTCTGCTTCTTAAGTCTTTCACATTCAGTCTGAATAATTTGTAGGTGTTCCTCCGCTGCTATTTTCTTGTTGACCATACCTGATAACTCCTGTTGTAACGTTTGTTTACTTTCTACAGTTGTATCCAGTATACTTTTCATGTTGTTCTTCTCCCTCTGCAGAGCTTGTATTTTTTCTTCAAGTTTTCCCTTTTCCTTAAGTAACTGCTCCTGGTGTGGTGCATCAACTTGTAGTCTTCTTGCGTGCTCAACTTGGATCTGTGTTTTCAGGTCTTGAATATCACGCTGTTGAGTTTCCACACTTTTCTTGGCTTGAGATAATTCATCCTGTTGAGTAATAGTTACCAATTAAATCATTACATACACAATGCAGTACAGTACCCTGGCGGGCAAAACATGCTCGAGTAACGTCAATATTGATCCACTATTACATCAGCGTCATTGCCCAGATTCGTCAGGGCAATATCGTCTACTGAATAACAGGACTTGACACTACTGGAAATAGAACAAGCCGAAAGTCTAACCAACTATTACATCCACAAAACTGATTAATTTAAACCGTTCCCACTGTAACTCTAGCATCAACATTCACTGAATGCTGTACGTGAAGAAATTACCATACTGGCTACAGTACCACCACCACCATCACCATCATTACCCAATTTACCACTTTCCTGAGATTGCGAGATATCAGCCCACAATAAATGCAAGAGCATTATATGGAAAGAACTTTATGATATTCACTGCTCAATTCTCTTCAAGCATAAACCGGAATTAGAGAAAGTTCAGAGGTTCACAACTAGATTAGTACCAGAACTGAAAGGCACCTGACATGAGGACAAGTTGAGAAAACTTTTCCTCACAACCTTAGGAGAGGAGAAACAGAGAGGATATGATAACTACATACAAGATCTTGAGGGGGAAGCAGTAAAGTAAATAAAGGAAAACATTTTAAATTAAAACTAGGACTAGGGGACATTGGTGGAAGTTGGATAAGGAATTAAGTCAGAGACATAAGAACATACTTGTTCCCTGTATGGATGGTTGGCAAGAGGAATGCATTAAATGAAGAGGTTGTGAAGCCAATTCCACCCACAACTTTAAAGAGAAATATGATGAAATGTTGACAGAGGCAATTAGTGTGCCAGGTATAGATAGCTAGGAGTAGGGACATAAAGAGCTAGATCTTATGCCCCCCCAGTCACGGACAGATAAGCACCTCAATATGACACCATGCTAAAGTAATCAATCACTACAATATGACAGCATACTAAAGTAATCAATCGCTACAATATGACAGCATGCTAAAGTAATCAACCACTACAATATGACAGCATGCTGAAGTAATCAATCACTACAATATGACAGTATGTTAATTAAATACACTACAACTACTGCCATGAAAGACTAATCCAAATATCCACGTTCACACACACAAATTATCAACACATCAAATGGTATATTAATGGTTCACCTGTAACGAGGTACACTGGTGCTGGGCAACTGACAATTGAGCGGTAATTGCAGCTTTCTCGTCCCTCAGACTCTGCACTTCCGCTACGCTCACGCTCGACACTGCGTCCTGTGCTTCTTGTTGCCTTGCTACTAACATGTCGGTCTTGTCTTCTAAAAGTCTGTTATGTGGAAACAAAATTATATATACTGTATATTATATATATATAATATACAGTATACTGCATATAATATGACTCCTTCTGAAGATGTATTAATATACGAAAGTACTTGAGGAAATTCCTGTTTCAATTCTTTCTCCGTGGTCTTACACTGTCATATATAATATACAGTAATTATGAGCAAGAAGTAAGAATTCTGGGGTACAAGAAACTATTGCTCTTATACATTAAAAGCTTTAGTATTACATTAGTCTGGGAAATCCACTCCAGTACATACACACAAAACAATTACTGCAGCACAAAATTGGTGCCGCAGTAATAATCAGGAAACTCGTACCTTGGTAAAACCCCACACCACACTACAATGTACAATATTTATGCTTATTCCATTAAAACATCTTAAATAAACTCAAAAGTACTTTAAAAAGAGCTTCTAAATAAATAAAAATCCTTCTTACAGAATTATGACTGTTTTGGAAGTTGTAAAATTGCTTTTCGAGCTCAGGTTCCTCATATGCTCCCCGAGCCAAGATCATTATAGATGATAGAGAGTCCTCCTAGGACTCTCTATCATCTGCTATGCTACCTGGATTATACTGGAAGTGGGTTATGAGAGTTCTTCTGCAACCCAAATCCAGCCTGGGACCAGGCTTGTCCTGGGATAACTTTTTATCTAAAAGCCTGTTGCTTCTAGTGGTTCACAGGCCCGCATATCCATTACAACTCTGCTGGTTCAAGATTTCTTGCAGGAACTTGACTTATTGTTTCTTGAACATGTCTACTTTTGTTCTGGCAATATGTCTTACAATTGTTCTCATCGTTCTTGTCTTCCACCATGACAGATTTTTGCAAAGTGTCTTATCAAGGAAATCTGGTGGGAAGCCAATTATGAATCCAACTAAAGGAACCAGCTTGCAATAATACAAAAGAGTGAACAATAACATTAATCCCTCCAAGTAAATCTACTACAGTGTGTCCCCAATTCACGACAGGAATACGTTCCTAATTTGTCTATTGAAAGTCGATCGGTTGATACTCGGAACACGATTTTCAATAGGCACAATTCTATAAATGTTCGATGGGTTCCAAATACCCTATAAACTGGGATATTAAATTCTGAAATGTAAATAATGTTGAATAAATACTGGTTTTATTCACTGCATTTGTCTTACTGGATTTGATAATTAATGAGACGAGAGGGAAACTTTCAAGTTTCAATATTTTTTTCAGAATACGTATCCAAAGATGTCTTGGCAATTATGTTTTCTCCTATGCACTAGTGCAAGTCCTATAGATATATTTTTGTGCAGATTTCCAGGGACCAGCGATCTTACCCTATGTTACTGACATTTAGCATGCATTTTCCAGCGACTGATCGACACGAGTATTACTGGACTTCCTATGCTTCTCGCTTAACTATTCTTTTCATAAATCCCTGCATTTAGGTTTTTCGTTCCATAGTTTACCTCTTAGTGCTTCAACCCAAAATGTTCAAGTCGAATCCATGCTTACCCATGTGCTTGTGACTCAGAAATTTGCTACACTCATAGCTTTCTGCCTGATTTTCTTGAGGTTATCTTGAATTGATTTCGGGGCTTTGTTTTTAGTGTCCCTGCGGCCCGGTCCTTGACCAGGCCTCCACCCCAGGAAGCAGCCCGTGACAGCTGATTAACTCCCAGGTACCTATTTACTGCTCAGTAACAGGGGCATAGAATGAAAGAAACTTTGCCCATCGTTTCTCGCTGGCGCCCGGGATCGAACCCGAGACCACAGGATCACAAGTCCAGTGTGCTGTCCGCTCGGCCGACCAGCTCCCTGCTCTTATGTCTTGTTCCAATATTTGGATCTATATTTTCTGGGAGATTAGTCATTTGTTGCTGGCTACGTCTCAGTACTTCCCTATCAATGACTACAGGGCTGTGAGCTCTAGCTCATTATATCCTGCCTCCTGACATGTTTACTACCTCTTTCAATATTAACAGTCATTGTATTTTTCCTAACAATGTGGATGGAATTGGCTTCAACAACTTCTTTCTTCATTGCATTCCTCTTGGTGACCACCTATACAGAGAATTATTTCACTAATTTAACTATCTCAACACATTTATTATTTTTGTCTTCTCTTTTCCTTACAATCATGGTAATATGTTTTTATGTGCATACTTTTAACTCCCTTGTTTTAATTTTTTTTAACAATCCTACATATATCTTTCAAATTATATTTAATCGATTCACTGTGTATAATTTCCTAATAATATCTCTTATTTCTTGAGACCATCATTTACAATTGAGAAACTATATTCCTGCACTAACAATAGTTCTCAACATAAATATCATCCTTGAACATGTTCTGCTTCATTATAAACTCTTCGATACATTTAACAGTCCATAGTCCCTCTTCACATTATCACCCACTTCCTTGGCATCAATAAAGACTTGCCACAACTTAGAATATTTCTCGCGTGCCTTCTCCAGATCCATAACCGTCACGTATGCATTACAATGTTTCTCACGTGCGTTCTCTGGCTCGTTTTCTCACATATCTTCTCTACTACGTCCTCAATAAAAATGCATGGCAATAATTCTGCTTTCAATCTCTCCCAAATATTTCCTCCTTGCCATTTATTCGTGAAAACAGTTGTCAAGTTGAAAGTTATTTCCAATGCCCCACCCGCTGGCCTTCCTCTAACATAAATCACACAGAATTCTAGGTATAATCCAATACTTTAAAACCATTTGTTAGTAAAGCTTACATAGTAATATAAAGAGTTATCAGGCAGACTTGGGCACCTACTTTTGATTCTTCTGCAGCAGTTGGGTCACAGAAGTGTTAAGCAACGCAATTGTTTTCTCCTTATCCTCTAGTTTAGATTTCATCTCATCGTTTTCACTGACTATGGTAGAGATTTGTGCCAAAAGTCCATGAGGGTCAGAATTGACAGCTGCGTAATGCAGGGGCAACTCTTTATATTGGTGAATCATTCTTGAAGGTACAATACTTGAGTGGCCAAAGGAACCACCTGATTGTTGCTGCTGCTGCTCCAGTTTCTCAATCTAGAAAATGACATTAGGTATATTTACTATTTAATGCTATATCTGAAATTAAACTGTATTAAAAAAAAAATGCACCACTCTGCCACATCATTGAGCCCCCACCATCATTCCGTAACCATCTCATTGGTTATATTGTTACACTTCTTTAACTTTTATCTTTGGTAATCGACCCCATGACAAAACAGCACCACTTAAGAACTCCCACACTCATGCCTTGAACACATTTAGTTTAAGCAGTTATTGTCAAACTGAACAACACATTAAGTTATTCTTAGTCCATACACAGAAATACTGTATAAAATGGACATAAACATACAAGAATATCAGTCTGTGTAAAATAAATTATTATTATTACTAAATGCCTAACTTCTGTCACTTACATTGTCCTCTAAATCCAGTACCAATGGCAACTAACAATTCTAAAGATACTAATAATTAAAATATTTACCTTACTCATTAGGCTATCAATCTTATCCGACATCTTGGACACCGATATTTTGAGTTCAGTATTCTGTGATCTTGTCTCGGAAAACAAGAGGGAGAGGGTTGGGTCAGAGACTGGAGCAGCGTGTTGTGGAGCCACAGCATGAGACCCTACGGCACCAGACACCGGCATTGTCGAGTATCCTGAACCCTGTAATAGAGCACAACAATTACTGTATCATAATAATCATTCCTATTGTCGGCGACAGAAAGCCTGTACACAGGTTTCTTGAAGTCCCTGTAGGTCAACTACTGACCTTTCCCAGGATGCAACCCACAACAGTTGCCTAACTCCTGGGTACCTATTGTGAATCAAGGACTTAAGACCACTGTGCTATAGGATCCAAACACTACACTACATTAAAATTTTAATGAGGCATGTTAGCAATTATCATATCCTGTGCACAAGAACAGATTCGTACCACAATGCCAGCGTGTTGCCAAGGAGCTTGTTGATAAACCACCAGTTGCTGTGGGTGTGGAGAAAGATGAGGAGGTCGAGGGGCCGGCTCTGGTCTCGAAGTTTCAGAGCGAGCTGACTGAGCCCTTGATCTGATGGCAGGGGTTGCCGCTAACTCCTCTGTTGATCCAGACATTGAGCCACTATTATGCCTTGCATTTTTCCGTCTTGAAATCTCTTCCTGTAAATTATTTTAGGAAATTTTAGGAAAATATTGAAGTACACGCACCATACAGTACGGGGGCACTCTTTCTTAGAGCTGTTTCTCCGGAAAGATAGATGCAACGGCTTCACCAAAAATATACAAACAGTGGGCATGTTTATACAGTTCTATATACACGTATATTAGTAACTGAGGCTCAGTAAAGATCACTATATTTAAAGGATCATGTTCCAATAATATCTCAAAGAAAATTTTAAGCAAGACAAAGTTTTGATCATGGGGAAACATTATGGGCCTGTTTTAAAGAACATGGCTTGTCTTAATTTTGAGAGTGAGGAGTTTTGATCAGTTAGAATGGATGTTGGCTCATGTCTTCTTAAATAATGAATGATTTTATCCTTAAATCTTGATAAAGACACAGTTCGAGTCAAATGAAACTCAGTAGAACTGTTTGGGAAAAATATTGTATGGTTGGTGTTCATTTTTATATTCAGTGCAGTTTTTGTTCACCCAGGTAGGCAAGTCATGACAATATCTTTGAAAAATGTGGTATGGGGGTTGGGCCATGGGAAGGATCAAGAACGAGTTTAAAAAAATTCTATCCAATCAGGTTCCACTGGTAGATAGCCAACATAAGATAGGTTGAATTAAGATTTCTAGCAATCAAATTCACCCACAGTGGAAAATAAAAGTGACAAAAGTGACATTGCACAAAATGCATTTTTAAAGAGTTTCATAGCTCAGTGTAACAACAGGGAAAGAAACTGGAGCCACGGTCATAAACGGCCATACCACGTTGAGAACACCGCTTCTCGTCCGATCAGCGAAGTTAAGCAACGTTGGGTTTGGTTAGTACTTGGATGGGTGACCGCCTGGGAACACCAAATGCTGTTGGCAATAATGTTTTTTACCTGATCAACCAGGCTGTGACTCGTACGTCAGGCTGTGAGCAGCCGCGTCCAACAGCCTGGTTGATCAGTCCGGCAACCAGGAGGCCTGGTCGACGACCGGGCCGCGGGGACGCTAAGCCCCGGAAGCACCTCAAGGTAACCTCAAGGTATGGTAAAGCAACAGAACATTGCTCAAACTAAATTCTATAGTGCAGATGATGAGTCACAATAACATGGCTGAAGAAATGATGACTCGACCCCAACTCAGAAGATGGAGGAGCGACGATGTTTTGGTCCGTCGTGGACCATTGTCACACAAGATGATGATGGTCCAGGACGGACCGAAACGTCGTTGCTTCTCCGTCTTCCGAGTTGTGGTTTGGTCATCATTAAATTCTATGGTTCTATTCATTTTAAGGTTGATGCAGCTTCCACTCACCCAATGGGGCTTCCTTGGAAAAATAAGGTTTCGGGGCAGTCAATTAATTTTGAAAGTGTTTTAAGATGAAGGAGAAGAAGTAGGTGGTAATATATAAAAGAATATCAATTACTCTTCAACACACTTATAACTCTGAGGTTGATAGAAAATCACAAGAGATAAGGTAACTATCAGGAGAAATCCTTAAGCCATTATGACTATATAGCACTTGGAAGGGACATGAGGATTTAGGATAGGACAGAGGAAAGGAATGGAGCCCAACCACCTGGATGATTGGGGATTGAACGCCAACCTACAAGAAGCAAGGCCGTTGCTCTACCATCCAGTCTAATTGGATGGAAATCATAGGAGCACAAGTACAAATTTGACAACTTATAAGGTTTCCTTCCTTCACGATCAACATACTAACCACTTCACTTTCTGAATCAGTGGGTTGTGAACAACTATTACTGTGTCTAGTTGGGAGCAGAGGATGACCCACCCGTGCCATACGGGAGACGAGAGATGCCTTGCTTGAAGAGCCCACATCAGTTTTTGCGTGTTCTTTCGTATCTGTTGAAAATATTTTGGTTTTGGTACAAAATAATAAAACATATCTCTGATATTTCTAAAATTCACATCAAATGATCATAAAAATAAGATCTTTATTACAAATGTACATCAATGCTAAGTTTAAAAAGAGAAAATACGGGGAAATTACTAAACCAAGCATACCATACTGCTTCAAACGTTGTTATATTAATTAAGATATATCAATATACTAAATTCTATACGAGTAAAGAATACCTTCAGGCAACGATTCAAAATTTCCAGATGCAACCGAGCTTTCTTCTTTAAGTGCTTGCTGATTATCTACTTGTGGTGTATTCCTTCCCGATTGGTCCCCGCCTTTCTGTCTGACTCGTTCTACTGTGAGGTCATACATTATTAGGCCACCACTATCCTGCAAATACAGATGGTCAATAAAACATTAATTATATTTATGTCGGTATCTGGTTACTATACCGATGGCCGCAAGGTGACAGTTAATATGATATTAATAGCCTATTAAACGTATCAACATGAGACAGAACATGAAACAATGGGTATAAATTGGATAAGTTTAAGATTTAGGAAAAAATCCTGGTAAATACTGGTTTGGTAACAAGGCGAGAATGCTGAGATACATTATAGTTCATGCTCTGTGTTCCTTCCCCTTTTGCAATGGACGATGGTTTCAGGGTCACTGTTGTAACGCAAAACACACGACTGACTTTTTAATCCCCTTGAACGTGCCTGTGCAGGAACGCTGAGCGGCTAGCTGGTGACGTCACTGACCATTAGCGATGTTTGTGCAAGGGTCACCGGGGTAACGAAAAACACACGACACAAGACGTGTCCGCTAAAAAAAGCAAAACGGACACGACTTGTGTCTTCCCCCACTACTGGTCACTACTGGTTAACTGGTTACTAATAGTGACCAGTTAACAGTGCGAGTGATGTAGATTCAAATTATGCCAATAACCCACTAATTTTGAAACACAAATGTCAGAAGCCTGCAAAATAAATATAACTTACTTCATGCGCACGAAGATGCAGAAAATCGTGACAACAGTAAATTAGTTAAACATGAGGCCAAGAAGTATTGCCGGGTGAATTTCACTTCCCAGAATACCTGTCCAACCACTATGACTAGGCAGCAGAAGGGAAGGGAACTCACTAGGCAGCAGAAGGGAAAGGAGCTATCAGGAGACAGCACCAAGCCATTACAACTATATAGCAATCGGAAGGGATCAGGATAAGGATTAGGGATGGGACAGGGGGAGGAAAGGAATAGTGCCCAACCCCTTAGACGGTCGGGAATTGAATGCCGACCTGCAGGAAGTGAAACCGTCACTCTACCGTCCACCCCAAGTGGTTGGGCGACTGGCCAGCAGAGTGACACACACGCGCTTCTTGCACATTGGCATTCAATCTCCGACCATCCAAGTCCTTGGCCACCATTCCTTTCTTCCAGTCTATCCCAATCATTATCCTCATATCCCTCCCAAGTGCTATAATCGTAATGACTTGGTGCTTTCCCCCTTGATCATTATTTTACCAATCTTCCCAGGATACTGCACTTCTGCCTTCCTTCATGAAGAAAGAGGTAACATTAGAAGATTTCCAGTCTTGAGTCATAGTGCGATAATAAACTGCTTCATCCTTGATGAAGCAGTTTACTATCGGTTACCCGACTACATGCATAACTTGCCAGTTAACATTCATTCGTGCATTCATCCCCATTCACATCATAATGTTAAATGAATCACGTTAACCACCAAATGGAACCCCAACACGTCAGAAAGATATTCTCAACTTATCATAACCTCTAGTGATGTATGAAAAGTCCCCTCCCCTCCCCTCTCAAAAATAAATAAAAATATAAAATACAGATAGTTATTAATTTTACGTGGCAATAATTCAACAATAAAAAAGGGACCCAAGAGTTCCTAAGCCATTCAAAGAAAACGGACAAATTACCTTTGGCTGAGGCGTAAAGACGAGGAGTCGGGAGCACTTCTGTGTCCCCAGCAGTTTTGCCTCCCAACCTCCCATTCCGTCCTTTAGTTTGACACGATGACCTGTTTTACCTTCGTCAATCTGTAGAGATGTTTCGTATTACATTAGCTTCAGAGGAAAATTTCTCTATATAAATAGAGGACCTACAATAATTCAGTGAATGCTCACTAATTGGAAGGCGGGTAGCTGGAACTTGTCACAATGATGTCAATTGTGGGTAGTGAAGATCTTACAAAGCTAGTGATCGTGCATATTGAAAATCTTACAAAGCTAGCAATCATGCGTGTTGAAGATCTTACAAACGCTAGCAATCATGCGTGTTGAAGATCTTACAAACGCTAGCAATCATGCGTGTTGAAGATCTTACAAACGCTAGCAATCATGCGTGTTGAAGATCTTACAAACGCTAGCAATCATGCATGTTGAAGATCTTACAAAGCTAGCAATCATGCGTGTTGAAGATCTTACAAACGCTAGCAATCATGCATGTTGAAGATCTTACAAACGCTAGCAATCATGCGTGTTGAAGATCTTACAAACGCTAGCAATCATGCGTGTTGAAGATCTCACAAACGCTAGCAATCATGCACATTGAAGATCTTACAAAGCTAGCGATCATGCGTGTTGATCTTACAAAGCTAGCGATCATGCGCATTGAAGATCTTACAAAGCTAGCGATCATGTACATTGAAGATCTTACAAAGCTAGCGATCATGCGCATTGAAGATCTTACAAAGCTAGCGATCATGCGCATTGAAGATCTTACAAAGCTAGCGATCATGCACATTGAAGATCTTACAAAGCTAGCGATCATGCACATTGAAGATCTTACAAAGCTAGCGATCATGCGCATTGAAGATCTTACAAAGCTAGCGATCATGCGTGTTGATCTTACAAAGCTAGCGATCATGCGCATTGAAGATCTTACAAAGCTAGCGATCATGCGTGTTGATCTTACAAAACTAGCGATCATGCGCATTGAAGATCTTACAAAGCTAGCGATCATGCGCATTGAAGATCTTACAAAGCTAGCGATCATGCGCATTGAAGATCTTACAAAGCTAGCGATCATGAGCATTGAAGATCTTACAAAGCTAGCGATCTTGCATAGTGAAGAGATATAATAATAATAATAATAATCATGAGTACATATTAGAAGAACACCGACGGTTAGTCAGTCTGATGTGAAACTGTACAGTGCATTATATACAAAATTAAATTGTTTTAATTTAGTAACAATTACTATTAGTGACCATATGATCACATTTAACACAAAATTCAGCCTTTGGGGGATTCTGGGGTACCAGGTGAGTCAGCAATTGTTATATACCCAGGGATTGTTGGGTGGCCCTGGGGTAATCCTTGGTGTCTCTTCATTGCATCTAAGGGCAGATTGAATCAGTATTGGATTGATATCTGATCTCTATGTGCTCCTCACCTCATACAGGGGAGGGGAGGGGATTTTGTAAAGCTAATAGGCAATGAGTCTCGGACTACCTGGTATTGTCTAGTCCGAATTATAACTAGCTACAACACAAGCTACTAAGAGAGCTACATAGAAAAATATTGTCTCATTTTTTCCCTACATTGATTTGTGTTTTTCCTGTTCATTTAAGTTATTTTCTTGTCACTTTTCTTACATTTGTAATAAAAATAATGCTCTTTTCATATGTACCATTCACCATTATAATGGAAACCAAGTCTAGAACAGCAATTACTTATTCCTGACGGATATACAGTTTCATAGACTTACTGCATCAGGTGACTTGTTCATCAACTACCACCAAACAGCACCAGCAGCAACCAGGCCCAAACTCCAGTTCTAAAACTCGGATATCTGGCTGAACATTACAGGATCCTTGTTATCTTGAGATGATTTCGGGGCTTTTTAGTGTCCCCCGCGGCCCGGTCCTCGACCAGGCCTCCACCCCCAGGAAGCAGCCCGTGACAGCTGACCAACACCCAGGTACCTATTTTACTGCTAGGTAACAGGGGCTCGGCTCCCAAAGGCTCGGGCTCGGGAAGCTCAAGCTCTATCAACTGGGCTACGAATAGTCTTAATAAGGAAAGTTTCTAGGAAAAATAATAAGTAATAACTTAATAAGAAAAATAATGGATGCTTAAGGATGCTTAAAATATTGTTTTGATGTATTTTCTAAACTTGCCTATTGCTGTGAACAATTTCTTATCATGAAGCAGGCATTACCACTTTATGGAGTGAAAGGTCTTAAAAAGATATCCTACAATTCAAGGATAATAGTTCATATAAATTACAAATGATAAATAATGGGCAAGATGCCTCCATCTTCAGAGGTAACTGTTGCCCAAGGTGCACACAGCAAGTCCTGCCTTAATCCTTCATAAACAGCTGGATTTAACAAGTCCAAAATTTTTATACCTATTATTTCTTTAAGATATCTACTATAGTTACACGTGTAAAGCTAATACATTTGAAGAATTTCTAATATCTTGTTTGTTTTGTTATAGGGTAAGTTATATGCAATAGGTTTTGACTTTTGCCAGAAGTGGCAGACCACCAACATACCAAACTTTACCATAATCTACAGTTTCCATATGATCTTGGTATCGATGTATGTGCAGATAACCTGAATCAGATACAGACGAGGAGTCACAATAACGTGGCTGAAATATGTTGACCAAACCACACACTAGAAACTGAAGGTCCGTCCTGGACCATTCTCAAGTCGATTCTCAAGTCTCACAATCGACTTGAGGAGAATGTTCCAGGACGGACCGAAACGTCGTCGTCCCTTCACTTTCTAGTGTGTGGTCTGGTCAACAACCTGAATCAGAGCCTGCCATAATTAAATCCAATTACTGTGTGTCCACTGAGTTGGTAAAAGCATTCCTTTACAAAAATACAAGTTCATGATAGATAAACCTTTACCTTTTCTAATAAAACTTAAAGTAAATAGCTAGGAACAAATCTCTTCCTTGAACACACGTTACAACAAGTTATTTATTCCAGCAGTGAACACATTCTCTTAAGAGAAATATAAAATGAACCATCAGAATCTACACACACACACACACACACACACACACACACACACACACACACATATAGTACTGTACAATAATATTTCAAGCCTGATGCTTCCTAAAGTTCACTTGGTAAATAAAGTAATCTTCTTATTAGAAATTTGCTTAACAGTACTGTACTGATAATACTGTCCTTATTCTATTGACAATACAAAGAATGGATGTATAATTAGCTGGAAAATGAAGGTTGTTGACATACTTGCTCCCCTTTCTTTCCATTGGTAATACTCCACGCAGAGAATGATACTTGAGCTTGGTCACCCTCTTGTAGTAGTGGTCCTTCACCCACTACAACCGTCTGTGTTGCCACCACACCACCAGACGCCGTTCCGACTAGTGCGCGACAAATACCGATCTGTAAATCAGTAACCAATGGCAGCAAAATCTTGGCGAGTATAGATGTTATACAGTAATGATATTATTTATCTAAGATAAATATGTTGAAAACTAGTACAGACAAAAATACCACACTGAGTATAAATGGACTGCTGCTCTTGGAAAAGTGTACATGGATATTCCTTGAAGTAAGATCTTGTCTAGCCCATTGAACAGAATCATGCATATTCAGGGAAAGTCAATATTCTGCAATGGTGCAGAAGGCATCTTTTCAAACTGTTGGTAAGGAAACACTAGACACATACTCAGTCCAGCTGTGAGCGACCTCTTAAAAGGTTCACTGGTAGATGCTCAAAGCCTTTCGGAACTCAAGTATTTGGGATAACAGGGACTGTCACTGCATGTACCACGAGAATTCTGCCCATATCATCACAAAGTGGAAGTACCAACACCAAAACAGCATCCCCTCATTCAAGCTCCCATCATCCTTTCCAATTAAAAACAAAATATATAAATAAATATCTGGATAGGGAAATCAAGAAAACAAGAGAGGGAATGAAAGCAACCAAATATTTCTCTCTGAAACTTCCAGCAGCCCAAGAAGTCCAGTTTCAGAGCACCTTGATCCTTGCTTGAAGACAAGATAATTATCTGGAAGAAAGCTAACCCAGCACAACATACTAGCAGCACAGATACTGGGCTGCTAAAGTGCAGTTTCAGTACCCCTTCAGGGCAAAAAATTACACGGGTTCTGTGCACAAAGCTATTCCTGCAGCTGACTCAGCTTGGCAAATGAGAAGTAGCTACGAGACGCAAACCTTAATAAAAGGCACCATTGTGCATTGGTGCAAGGATTAATGTAAACACAAAGATGAGAGCAGATTTTAATATTTATGCCTATAGAAGACTCATCAACTAACAGATATACACAGGGCTAGAAGGTAATTATAAAGGAACAAAATGCACAAGTGGCAGTGAGGTCAAGTGGGTTGAGGTCAATTAGATGTATGATATAACAGCCCATCCTCCCCTTTAGATATTATAAGCACCAGCAGTGTGGACCATCATACATATATTGATGTAATGGACAATTAGCAAGTAGAATTTGGTACTACAAACCAGAAAAGGTTTCCCATACCTGTTGCTACAGTAATAGAACCTAACCTAACCATCCTAGGCCGAATATATGCTATCTGAGGACTAATACAGTACATATGCGTGCTATACTAGGCCTAGGAATATTTAAGTTTGGTTTTAGCTTCGTTTTGTCCAGACTATAAAGTGAATAGTACTAAATTCTACCATCTAATCGTCCAATATGTAAATATATGTACAATATTGCACATAGTTACAAACGTACTATCTAAACAGAAGGATGGGTTGGATGTGAAGGTTGGTAATCGTTGCGACAAAGTAATACATAGGCAAGACACCCAGAATTGTCGATGCAAGGATTTATAACCATGCCTGCCATTTCTTTAATGTTAACAACACTTAGTCACACAGGAAGCAGCAGCCTTACCTCATTAACTTTTGGCATGCTAACCTCATCATCAAAGAAGAAAAATAATATTAAGAGACTGTGGGTTTCTGCGTCGTCGCAGAAACCCACAGTCGTCGTCGTCTGTGTCGTCGTCTCTTGTCGAAGAGACGTCGTCGTTGAAGAGACGTCGTCGTCTCTTCAATTTCTAGTGTGTGGTCTGGTCAAGAGACTGTGGTTTCTGCAGCCATCAAATACTACAGCACAAACTAATGAATGTAGGAACATTCAACATTGCTTCTCTTTTGCTATATTGTTACTGCATAAATACAAATTATAATATATAATTCAGGGGTTCTGCTAGTAAAGTTGGGTTTTTAGTACTTGGTAGAATTCCGGGTTCGAATCCCGGGCAGGACAGAAATGGTTGGCCATTTTTCCTATCACCTAATGCTCCTGCTGTCTACCTAATAGTAAATAGGTACCAAGGGGTATCAGTCAGCTTGCTGTGGGGTTGCATCCTCAGGAGGGTCAGTAATTCGACTCTGGGGGAACCTCGTCATAAGTCTAACATGTACTGTATGTATAAACTGGCTGCCTGTTCCCCAACACAAATGAATTATTATTAAATACCCTAATATTTCCAATATTCTGTAAGCTGATTTCAATAACGAAATTTAACATTTTAATCCATGATATTATGGGCAACGTTTCCACCAGCTGTGAACTCTGTCCCAACATCCTAAGCAAATCCACACATTCCCCACTGCAGCGAACAAGAGTTTGTGGAATCGGGTGAGTAAATACAGCCAGGAAAATGTGCATTCCAACTGGAGATTGACTGAACTGAGATTCGTTGAATTGAGGTTCCAGTGTATTGGCTTTATTACACAAAAGCCTCTGTCACTTCCTGGGGAAAAAGAACTACTCCCCCAATCCACAGATCGGGAGAAGAGTTGAGGGTAGGAAAGAGAAAGCTGTGAGTGAAGATCGGTCCTCTCAACCAAATCCCAAGGAACATAGGAGGAAAGATCTCCAAGCCTAGGGAGCCGGTCGGCCGAGCGGACAGCACGCTGGACTTGTGATCCTGTGGTCCTGGGTTCGATCCCAGGCGCCGGCGAGAAACAATGGGCAGAGTTTCTATCACCCTATGCCCCTGTTACCTAGCAGTAAAATAGGTACCTGGGTGTTAGTCAGCTGTCACAGGCTGCTTCCTGGGGGTGGAGGCCTGGCCGAGGACCGGGCCGCGGGGATACTAAAGCCCCGAAATCATCTCAAGATAACCTCAAGATAGCCTTTAACCCCTTTCTCTCAGGGCCCCACTCTCAGAGGAAGGGGAAGGAAAGTTAAGCACTTAAAAGCTGTAGTGGTAGCAGTAAAAATCCCCGAAAGCATGGTTCAAGCAGGGCCTTTCAGTTCCCGATACTGTACATCACAAATCAACTAGGCCAGAGCTGAAGGGACCAGAAGGGCCATATCCTTCTATAGAATAAAAGGTTCCTGCAAGGCACAGAAACCTCCACAGTTGACATTTCAGTGAATGAGCCAACAAGCACCATGTGAAGAAGGGGCTCAAAGAAGGTTAAAGCCCCACACGTGGAATTTACAGGCTACTCATGCCAGTGCTACCTCTTGGGTGGCTTAATCTTCATCAATCACACATGGAAGACTGTGCACACTCGAGATAAAACTAACAAGCCTAAAAGAAAGAAAAAACAGACAGAAGGAATGGCTGTCAGGGTATAATACAAATGCCTACATTCCTTCAAGCTACATAATGCATAGTTTGACCAATCTTTGTATTACAATACAATACAATACAATTTTATTTAGGTAAGGTACATACATACAATAAATATTTACAAGGAATGTTTGACTTATAGGTATAGCTAGTACATACAATGCCTAAAGCCACTATTACGCAAAGCGTTTCGGGCATAAGCAAAGCGTTTCGGGCATCAACATTTGCATCAACATTTGCATCAACATTTGCATCAACATTTGCATCAACATCAACATCATTTGTGCAACATTGTTGCACAATGACAAACAACCCCAAGGGAGGACAAGAATTTTGGCTTTAAACATTGCTTAGTACATCACCAGAACCTTGGCCTCAATCTGAATTGCCCTTGTAGAAGAGGCCCAAGTGTAAAGGCACTAGTCCTAAGTTAACCCTAAAACTAAGAGGGGGCTTGAATAGCCTGTGATCAAATCTCCACATTTCAAAAGAAAATTCCAAGAAGCTGTGAATGTGTTGGGATAATTAGGAGAATATCCCCCCTGCTAATATACTACTAAATCCAAGCTGAAAGAACCAATCAGGTAAACACTCCAGGCACAAATACAACTTGTATATTCACTTACTCAAATAAACAAAATTCCATGGATAAACACAAATGTTTAAACTGGTAATTAATGAGAACCCTATAGTATAGCAATCCCTATGATGCCAAACAGAACACAGAAGGGCTTTGAGTGTTCACGAATAAACCTTCAAGACATCACGACAGGCTGCAAGTGGAATTTTCCGTGTCTCCCTAGCACCAGTAGGGCTCAGCACGGACAGCCCATGATAGGCTCAAGAATCTGTCCACCAGTTGATTGACAGTCGAGAGGCGGGACCAAAGAGACAAAGCTCAACCCCCGCAGGCACAATTAGGTGAGTACTTGTGAAAAGATCCCTGCTGCAGCAGTACAAAATGCTGATTTATCCTGAGTGCTGGATCCTGACCATGGAACCAGAATGGACCCTGCTTTAGGGAACACTAGAGTGAGACCGATAACATTTCT